ACACACACACACACACACACACACACACACACACACACACACGCACACATTTGGACCGAATGCACCCAATCACCCCGGAGGCGCGTCCCCGAGTGCTCGCTCGCCCGCCCGCCGCGGAGTCGACGGTGCAGCGCTCCGATGTGTCCCCGTCGATCTGCCACTGGGTTAAAACGGACGGCTGGCTTTCCGGTTTAATGTTACCTGGCGGTGTCGCCGGGAGGCGGTTAAGCTCTGTTGCAAGATGTTAGCATTACGGCCCCCCCATATTTGATTTGACATTCCTCCCACCCTACAAAAAAAACTCCCAAGTTCACTCTCAGGCTTTGCGCATAGCTCCAAGCCCTCGACCGTTTCGTTGCAATGACTATCGGAGGTGGTTTGTGTTTATAGCGAAACCCAAACAGCTGCTACCGCCAAATGTAATCTTTGTATTTACCGTATTGTCCGACCCTGATGGCCGTCGTTTTCCCCTCCTCGCGTTCACTCCCGACCTCTCTCTCTCACTCTCTCTCTCCCTCCCTCTCGCTCAACCGGGTCTTCTCAGTCCGCTGCTGTCTCGCGCTCCCCCCGCCTGCTTCCGTCTCTCTCTCTCCCTCTCTGTCATTCGCCCGAGACGCTGGTGCACCGGCGAAAGTCTCCACCGGGTCCTAAAGCCTATTCAATAATGATAATAATAAAAATAATAATAATAATGATGATGATGATGATGATGGTGATAAATGGGGCTCCGTTTTGTGCTACATTTCGTGTTTTTTGACGGTTTGTCCGGTGCAATAAATGGCTCTAAATCACGGACGCAGTGCCATAAATCTACACTTCATTTCAAAAAGCTATTTTTATTTCATCATCATCATCATCATCATCATCTCCAAAAATCAATTTCGTCATTGGCAAAAAATAAACTTGCGTCTCGATTTGACTAGTCGTTCTCGCTGCATCGCCACGATTCCAGAGTTTTCTCAATAAAGCTTTACGTCACCGGTTACTGTGGTGATCCGTCCTTGCTGTCACAATAAAAGCTTTGTCCTTCTTCCTGGTTACCATCGCTCAAAAGCCACCTTCCATATATTTTATTTTGAAACCACCAATAGGAAGTTGCTTTTATTAGTGACATCACTGGACGGAGAAACGTCTGGAAGTGTCCAGAGTGACAGCTCTACGCGCATAAAAGCAGCTGAGGGACTCCCCGGGTTACAAGAACAAGATCCACAAGCGAAGATCTACAAGAGAGCAAGAAGATCCAGAGACATCACAGAGCACTTTTCAGTGTAAGTTCAAATTTGTATTCTCTGCAAATGACAATTTACTCTTCCCATCTATGTATTCAGATAAACTTTTAGGAAAGTTGCTATGTATTTGGACTGTGTCATATTGAATGCCTTCTTATGTTGCTGGGATGCTCACCATGTTGTAATATGTAACATCTCATGATGCTGTCTCATTTATCATGATTTGATTTTTTTTAAAAGATGTAATATGAAACATGTACTGTGCTTTCCCTCATCTTCCCACATTACAAACACTTGCATGTTAGGCTCATTGAAGATTCTAAATTGTCCATAAGTGTTAATGGTTAATTGTCTGAATGTATCCTCCGATTGGCTGGCAACCACTCTGGAGTGTACTCCACCTCTCGCCCATGTCAGCTGTGCTAAGCTCTCGCTCCCCCATGACCCTAAAGAGGATATAGAAAATTAAAATTGATGTGTCATGATTTTTAATATGTTGCTGTAATGTTGTCCTCCTCACAGACGAGCATCCTGACAGATTAACAAGCAAAATGGTCTTGGAGAAAGGCGTCGCAATCGGCATCGACCTGGGCACCACGTACTCCTGCGTGGGTGTTTTCCAGCATGGCAAAGTGGAGATCATCGCCAACGACCAGGGCAACAGGACCACACCCAGCTACGTGGCGTTCACCGACACCGAGAGGCTCATCGGCGACGCCGCCAAAAACCAAGTGGCGTTGAACCCCAGCAACACTGTGTTTGACGCCAAGCGACTGATCGGAAGGAGGTTTGACGATCCTGTCGTCCAAGCAGACAGGAAGCATTGGCCCTTCAAGGTAGTCGCTGATGGAGGCAAGGCCAAAATCCAGGTGCAGTACAAAGGGGACGAGAAGGCCTTCAACCCAGAGGAGATCTCCTCCATGGTGCTGGTTAAAATGAAGGAGATTGCAGAAGCCTACCTGGGTCAACGGGTATCCAACGCCGTGGTCACGGTCCCCGCCTACTTTAACGACTCCCAGCGGCAGGCCACCAAAGATGCGGGCGTCATCGCTGGACTGAACATCCTGAGGATCATCAACGAGCCCACAGCGGCAGCCATCGCCTATGGCCTGGACAAAGGCCAATCGGCGGAACGCAACGTCCTTATTTTTGACCTGGGCGGCGGCACCTTCGACGTGTCCATCCTGACCATCGAGGGCGGCATCTTTGAGGTCAAAGCCACCGCCGGAGACACGCACCTGGGCGGGGAGGACTTTGACAACCGCATGGTGGAGCACTTTGTGGCCGAGTTCAAGAGGAAGCACAAAAAGGACATCGGCCAGAACAAAAGGGCCTTGAGGAGGCTGCGCACCGCCTGCGAGAGGGCAAAGAGGACGCTGTCCTCCAGCTCCCAGGCCAACATCGAGATCGACTCTCTCTTTGAGGGCGTGGACTTCTACACTTCCATCACCAGGGCTCGCTTCGAGGAGCTGTGCTCAGACCTGTTCAGGGGAACTCTGGAGCCAGTGGAGAAAGCGCTGAAGGACGCCAAGATGGACAAGGGCCAGATCCACGACGTGGTCCTGGTTGGGGGCTCCACCCGGATCCCCAGAATCCAAAAGCTACTGCAAGACTTTTTTAACGGCAAGGAACTGAACAAGAGCATTAATCCAGACGAGGCGGTGGCTTACGGCGCCGCGGTCCAGGCCGCCATCCTCACTGGGGACACCTCGGGAAACGTCCAGGACCTCCTGCTGCTGGACGTGGCGCCTTTGTCGCTTGGGATCGAGACAGCCGGAGGAGTCATGACGTCGCTCATCAAACGCAACACCACCATCCCCACCAAGCAGACGCAGATCTTCAGCACCTATGCCGACAACCAGCCGGGTGTCCTCATTCAGGTCTTTGAGGGCGAGAGAGCCATGACCAAGGACAACAACCTGCTGGGAAAATTTGATCTAAGCGGAATCCCGCCGGCCCCGCGAGGCGTGCCGCAGATCGAGGTCACCTTCGACGTGGACGCCAATGGTATCTTGAACGTGTCAGCGGTGGACAAAAGCACCGGCAAGGAGAACAAGATCACCATCACCAACGACAAAGGCCGTCTGAGCAAAGAGGAGATCGAGAAGATGGTGGACGACGCCCAAAAGTACAAAGCTGAGGATGATGTGCAGCGAGACAAGATTGCTGCCAAGAACGCTCTGGAGTCATACGCCTTCAACCTGAAGAGCAGCGCGCAAGACGAGAAGCTAGCGGCCAAGTTGAGTGAGGAGGACAAGAAGACGCTGATGGACAAGTGTGAGCAGACCCTCAAGTGGCTGGAGAGCAACCAGCTGGCCGAAAAAGACGAGTTCCAGCACAAGCAGAAGGAGCTGGAGCGAACGTGTCAGCCAATCATCAGCAAGTTGTATCAGGGGGCGGGGCCTGCCGAAGGCTGTGGGGGGCAGACCCAGGCCGGTGCACAGGGGCCCACCATCGAGGAGGTGGACTGAGGACCTTTCTTGCGCATCAGTCTGAGACAAATTGTAAAATATTACACTGTTTTAAAATCGTGTTGTTAACATCAAGTACATAATAAATTACTTTTGTTCACAAATTTCTGTTGCAGTCTGATTGTGTGCGTCCATACAACAATAACAGCGATCTCATAGTGGCGCCAATGTTTGACTTGCTCCTGCTCCACTTTTGATTTTGTGCACCTTGAGCAAACTATTGGTCAAGAGCCAGACGAGTGGGACACGACTACTGAGGTTAACCTCACAGCCCCCAGCAATCGGTTGTCCACTGCCTTACCGGAATAGCTTCAATCGACTAAACATTAAATGCTAGAACGGCATTATTAAGTTCTTATTTATCGTCCCGCTTGTTGTAGGCGCTAAGAAGAGACAGGACACACTGGATCCAGTTTGATCATTCATAGAATTTATTGCAGGTCTAACACATCGCTCACATATGTTCGCCGCTGACAGCATTTACAGTTTCAAGTCAGAATGTGGCTAGCCGCTCCTCATTGAGGCCATTTGGAGTTGTCATAGCAGAGGACACGCGTGTGCAACCTAACATGAATAACGATGGTCCTGTTCACCGGCGATTCCGGTGAGTCCCAGATGCGGGCCATGGAACGGGACTGTCATACATGCTAATGAGTTTTTCGCAACGACATGAGCCAATGGCCGCTGTGAAGAGCATACTGTATTTTCTTCACATGCACGTTGTAACATGAACACCAGCTGAAAATGATCAGCAAGTGTGACGCTTTCAATTACTGAACTCGCACAAGCTCGATCGTTTCTTTGGTTCAGTGTTTGCACATGCAGCAAAGCGCCGTGCGCGGTTGTTTTTGGTATCGCCAACGCCACACAGTGGACCGAATCTTTATCACAAATCTACTGTTCGGAAAGCTTGAAATGAAAAGGCAGTAAAGTGGCAAAGCGCGAGGAGTCATTTTGAGCTGCAGAGTCTAAGGATCGTTCGATCAGTTGGGAGGCAGCAAGATGAGTTTAAGGTTTTGATTGAATGAACATATCTGTTGAAAATCCCCCTTAAAAAAATACAGAGATGTTGGGTTTTTTTTCGATTGGATAAAAGCAAGTTGACACATCTGCCTTTGAGGCAGCAATGTAACCTAGTCGCGAACAAAATTTATTGACTTCACTTCTGCGTTCATGTCTCCTCTCACTTTGCTTTTACTTAAAAACAATTTACGGGAATAATATGTATTTAATGTTTCTCTGTCACACACACACGCAGACATTGTACTCTCTCAGTTCAGTACCAGAACAAGCCAGCCTGAGCTGCTATAATACAAACACCTAACAGTTGACCTTCTTTACTTGTTCTTTTCTCCGGAACTACTGGTACATCCTTTATTACCATCCCGAGAATTAAAGCTTCTTACCCATCTGTCTCCTCTTCACACACCTATCTCTCACTTACTTTACCCTCATTTAAAAAAAAAAAAAAAAAACGCTTTTAAACGCTAAAGCGCGCGCGCGCGCACACACACACACACACACACACACACACACACACACACACACACACAGGCGTGAAAAAAAAGAGGTTTCAGTAAAACGAGGCTTCAGGTTCCTTGTTTAGCTATGCTCCGATATGTCAACACCAAATGAATGTCACAGTGACAAGACAAACACTGATTCAGAGCTCTACATCAGTAAATGGACTCAACTTTGGTGTCCAGCATGGCGAGTGCTTCATCGGCACTTAATGTTCCAATTCCCACTGGCTAGTGAGGACGTTTCTTGTCTCCATTTTAGCTTCTTCTTTGGCTGGGATGAGACACCGCACTGCCTGAGGAGAGTGGCATCATTGTCATTTGCACACTTCGGCTTGGGCATTCGCCCTCCCCCACTACATAAAAAATTGAGTGCCTTGAGTCGTTCGCAGTTATTTAGCGCAATTGTGGCAGGCAGTGAACAAGCTATGCCTACAGAATGAAAATATGCCAGCGTGTCCACTTTAGAGTGCCTCATTGTCAGCCATGAGTGCGCGCGCTTCACAAAGAGAAAGATGGAAGCGTGGATCCATTCACACAATGGAAAAGTTGCATTTTTGTCTCCTGCACACTTGTAAAAGTGAGCTTTCCTTCAAGTGTATTTACATGAATATCATTTCAAAAGGGGCTTAAAAAAAGAGGCTCGTACTTACCATTTTTATTTGTCCGTGATGAAATTTAACCTGCTGGACGGAAAAGAATGCTTTCATGAGAAAACCAGCAAAGAAAAAAAACAAAAAAACAAAAAGAATCGACAGACAAGAAAGCACTGTCATGTGAAAATATGTTGCTACCACAAAAAGCTTCATAAGAACCACATGGGCCTCAGAGTTCTAAAAGTAGATGCAGATGCATGGTCACAGCGGGACTCCCTTGTGAGGACAGACTTGTGCCCACGAAGAGGATTATTCCATGAAAATCTCAAAATCAAAACTAGGCGCAATATATCGAGCTGGAGCTCTTGGTGTGTTCAAGGGTTAGCGGGTTAAAGGCACAGGTTAGCGTCCTAACGAGTGTTCGAACCGAACCCTTCAGGAGCTGTACGATATTACCTCTGTCCTTCCCGTTGAGCAATCTCTCCTCTTCCTCTCGGCCATCATCTGTGGAGAAAAGGCATGGAAATAAACTTATCCATGTATAGTTTATTTTAAACTTGAGCTTTTGCGGCACCAAACAATAATCAGTGTGTGCGTACCAGAATGAAGCTCTTTGACCAGTGAGGACACGGTGTTGGTAATGGAGTCGGCTGCTACTAGAAGGTCATTCCTCAAGTTTCGCCTGGTGCCTGAAGACATTCAACAACAGGAAAATAGGGAGTAATTATGCCTCTTAAATGTCTCTCTCTCTCTGAAAGCCGGAATAATTTGCACAATGTTACCTTGGGCAAAAGCCTCTTGGACATCCCCACCCACACCGGCAAGGGAGTCTTGGGGCGAATACATCTGCGGCGACGCCGTACCAACTGAGCGGGCAGGCGAAGTGCTCGGCCGGGAGGCAAAAGCGTGAGAGGATCCCGCGGCCTGCGCCTAAAAGAAAGATTTGCAATGATGAAAAACATCAAAGAATATATCACGATTGACCCGAAACTGATTTATTGAGTTGTTCATGGGTTTGGTTTGTTTTTTTTTCCACTCCTTCGAAAAGGGGGTTTTTAAACTTACTGCCTGTCGCTGTTCCTCATCCTACGGGGTGAGCGCATGGGCAGATGGAAACAAAGGCAGAAAGGGTGAAAAGAAAGAGGTCAGACATGAGCAGTGATAGAACAGGTAAGACTCTCAAGGAGGAGCCAGAGGGAGTGAGGCGAGTTTTAGCGACAATTAATAGCATCAGAGTAGAGAGAAGATGTGGAAAATAAGAGTGTTTGTGTGTGTGTGACTAAATAGTTGCAAATCAATGTGTGTAACCTTGAGCAGCTTCATCAGTCCCTCCAGCTGGACCATCAGTTCTCTCCTGCTCTCTTGCAGAGACGACATCCTCTGCTCCAGCTCATCTTTCCTCTGTCTGCAGCACAACAAATCCCGATCGTCACCATAGGCGTGTCAATAGAGGGGTTTCGAAATGGAGTATCTCATATTTGCAGTTCCGAGCGAGCATAGCCCTCCAAACAACATAGTTTCACAGAACAAATCCCTCCTGCTTGGTTTGTTGTTGTTGTTCCTGAAAAGCGTTGGATGAATTTTCTGTTTTTCTTGCAGTGGTTTTTCCAAACATCCATCTGTCATTGCCATCTGCCATCAAGCCTCCCCGCTTTGCGCTGCAAAGCCTCACTGCACATTTCTCGCTCGCTCAGACGCCCGTGGCATGTCAATGCTGACAATTCATTGTCGGAATGACTTCAACCGCAGCAAGATATGTGCGGACACGTCGATAGCGCTTAACATCGGCATACGTGAGACGTGGCACGGATGAGTTTCCTGGACCGCGTGTTCACCTGAGCAGGCGAAGCTCAGCCAGGAGAGTCGGGTTGGTACCGCCCTTTTCTGGACCGGGCTGGCACACGGCGTCGTGTTCTGAACGGAGGCGTTTGATCTCTGCCAAAATCTCTCTGTGTGATGAAACAACGTAGCGGTCAAGGTCGGGCAGGCTGAACATGACTGACCAGGCGGTGGGGGGGGGCGGGAAGCTGGACAGTAACATATGGTCCACACGCAGTCCCCCAAAAAGCTAGCTTTTAAAATAATACAAATAAGTGCAGTTCAGTTTCACCTCCAACGTCGGCATACATCCAGAGGTTAAACTGAGATACTTGCTCCTCGCCCACACTTTTCTACCTGTTTTTGGACTCCAGCTGAGCGATGAGCTCCCTCTTCTGTTTGTTTACATCAAAGTTGATGCTTCGAGTGGGTATGACCTAAACACACACACACACACACACACACACACACACACACACACACACACACACAACAACGAATCAAGATTATTGACCAGTGCTTTGCGCGTTTCTTGTGTATCAATAAAGCTCATGAACACGGGAAACTGAAATATGACCTCACCCCAGAGCTTTCAGTCTCTGCCAGTCGAGAAGTGTAGCGGGCGATGAGTTTGTGCTCCTCGTCTTGTCTGTCGGGGCTGTGCGCGCCGCTAATAGCGAGAGTACATTTACTCTAAATTTAACGTCGCTTTCCAAAAATGCATGCCACCGTTTTTAGTCACAGGTTAAACATCACGACATCGAAGGAAAAAGCAGTCTGTTAGCGCATATTCATCGGTTAATTCGGTTCACACATTTTCATAGACTGCTGTCCATTTGTTTTTAGCACAGAGACTTAAAAGTAAAGTAACACTGCAGGAGGGGAAATCCTGTCGAAAAAAAAAAGATAATATTGCTTCCTTTTGCTATTTAAAGTAGCAGATGTCTCAAACTAACACATGAGACCCCCCCCCCCACTTCCCCAAAAGCAAAACAACGCTGCCAACAAACTGCATCCGGACTGACTTCTTGTATGTTTGGCTTACGAGCTATCCTTGGTTCTCCTTTGCCTTTTTTGACCAAAAGAATGACGAACTAGCGTAATGTTTGGATTCCAATGAGGAGTGACTCAGTCTGCGAGGCCTGGCCGGCCGTCTCGCTGCAGCCTCTCACCGTGGGCTGCTTTGGAGGCGGTTCACATACGCGGCGATCAAAGCGTGCTCCTCATTCATGCGCTGAGCTGCTGCCAAACTGCTGACACAAGTTAGACACGGCAAAGTAAGCATCATGTACGCTACATGGGCAAAAGTCTTGGGACACTCAACCGGCTACTTTGGTGTTTGAAGGTGGGAAAGGCCGTTTTCTGTGCCCCAGTGCGCAAAGCAAGGTCCATAAAAGTATGCTTGGATGATGTGTCGCAACATTTTTAGCCCAAATATAAGAAAGCTTTCTTGTATTCTAATAAAGATTGATTTTTTTTTTTTTTTTTAAGTCACGCTGATGAGCAAAATAGATGCACATTCGAGTGAGTGATTTGACGTATCACGGTCACTCCGATGTAAAGAGCGATGCTGATTTCTGTAAAAGCGCTCTCCAGGATCAAATCAATGAAGCCAAGCCCGTCTATTGGGTCGTAATTCTCGTGCAAACAATACAAAACATTTAGAATCATGCACCTACTGGAAATGCTACACTGGTATGTTGCCAAACTTTACCTCTTGGAGGACTCCGGTGCTGATGAAGACAGCAGCATGGCCGGACTTGGGTTCGCAACAGGTTGAGAAGGGCTGCGCATACAATGACAAACACAATGACGACTTTGAAAAACTAGGCAAACACAAGAAAAAAAAAAATTTCCATCAGCTCATGAAGTGCGGAGCCCTAGCTAACTACATTCGAAGCTCACATTCTGACACGCATTCACACGCTTCGGTGTAGTCATGCAATGGTGAATCATTCTGGTCAGAGTCAACACAGACGGAGCAAAGATCACAAGATGTCCAAAAAGACTAACGGAAAGCAACGAAAGTGAAAGGCTGCAAAAGGCCAAAACTGAGAACGATGCTACCTGATGCTACTTCACTACGCGCATACTCACGACCGAGTGCGGCAGCTCAGCGCTGGCTCGAATAAAAAGCTCAATGCCGGGAGGCATGCAATGAACCCATCTGCTGATGTTCGGAAAATCAAACAGTGTGACTGCAGCCGCAGGGGGCGGAGCCACCAAAGCGGTTGGCTGGATTTGTTATTTTCCTAAAGCTACCTGCATGTGTCTGCCAACATGGAACGATCGGGGCAATAACAAATAAGAGAAGTTGGTGAAAGTCTCGCCCTGAGGAATCCCTTACAGCTACCCATGAAAACTGACTTTTAGGCTGAAAGTCTCTGACAGCCAGACGAAAGTCTCGCTTAGGCAAAATTGTTTGTGCGCGCTTCCAGAGTAGGGAGGCTGCAATAATGCAACAATACCACTATCAGTATCATAATGAGTCACATTCAGCAGCCGATAGGGATCATTTTGGAGTGTTTAGGAATTATGCGGCTTGTGCGGTAAATGATAGGTGACGCGGGTTGGGCGACATCAACATCAGAGCATTCTCAGAGAGGATCACGCGTGTTTAAAAATAAGCTAAAACAAAATAATGGAGTGATGCTCAATTTTCCCCACGGTAAATCAAGGAACCGCATTCACGCAACCATGCTTAGTAGCCTAAAAAAGTGTAACTTTGACAGCAGCGTGTACAGAAATAACATTTTTTGAAATGCAACTTCTTGAAGAAAGGTGTGCGTGTGAGTCTTACACGATATTAGCGAGATTGAGGGTCCTCTCGGGTTCTTCTGGGTAAACCGGGTGGGAGGTTTCCCTGGACGATACACAACCCAGAGTTTTGCCCAGGGCTCGGCCCAGCTTGGTTGCAGGTGACTTCTACATTAAGACAAACCAAATGGGTGAAAAGGGGTTCGGACCGATGCCAGTTCTTGCCTCACTAGTCCTTTCTTTCTTCATGACGTTGTATGAACCTTTGCTTGCTTCAACCGTCGAGACTCACCCAGGACGAGTGCTCCTTCATCTGATGCTGGTCGCTATGAGAGCCGTTGGCATTTCCACGCCAGAAGCAGTTTTGGCAGAGCTGGTACCCTCGGCAACGCAGACAGCGATAGCGGAAGCCCGTCATACCGTCGCTACGGCAGTAGGAACACGAGACGGGATGGTAGACTGAGAGAAGAAAGGAAAACAAAAAAAGTTGCACACAAAACACGATAAAAAAAACAGCTCTCTGTATTACGCAATCAATCTACGGTGATTTTGAAATCTCTCAAAAACTAAACACATATTAAAGTGCGCACGGGTACATTTCCATCTACCGTTTTCCACGTTGGCGAGGCGATGCATGAGGGGCAGCCAGACGAGACATGGAGGAGGGTCAGATACAATGTCCAGGAACATGTTGAGCATCACCCTCTTCTAGAACAACAATTATACGCAAACTCTTCATTCGGAAAGACAAAACAATTGCACATAAAAGCCCCAAAAGAACGTACACCACACAAAATCACTCAGATGAAACTAATGATCTCACTCTAACACTCTGCAACAGATGCAGTGCTGAAGCCCTTTTACCTGGTGGGGGAAGCAGGAGTGGACAATGTTATTTGTGTAGCCAAAGGACGGTCCTTCTTGCACAGCGCAGGGCAACTTGAGAGCCTCCAACAGAAAATGGTCAAATTTGGACAGCACCATCACACCGCTGGAGTCCGACACCTGAGAAAACACATCTGGCACACAAACGCAGATGAAGTGAACAGCAGCACTAACACACTTTTCCCACAAGGCGGCACTTGAGTAGAAATTGTGCACTATGTTTTCATTCTCGGATGGGAAAATAAGGTACTGCAGTGTGGCTTTTTCAGAGCAACGCGAGAATATAATAATGCGCGTGCGTGCAAGCAATGACAGTTGACAGCTATTTGAAAAAGTACGTTTTAATCTCACAGCAATTCAAATATAATCAAATAAGCTAAATGAGAAATGTTGTGTCATGACCCCGGCCGGGCCAATTCTGCTGAGCCCCCAATTTACTCTCGGCAAAAAACATTCAATTGATTTAATGTACAGGGGATGATTTACATATTTAAAAAAAATCCAGCAAATTCATCAGATCCATTTTAAATGGGTTCAGTTTTGAGGGGGCACCGCCTCGGACAAAGTGGCTTAAGTGACCACCAAAATCAGTATCTGCTGGGACTTACAGCGGAGTTTGTCCACTAGTTTCCCTCCACATAGCACAGCCAGAATTGCCTTCACCGAGAACACCGTCAGTCGGCTCTCTGGTTCGCTGAAACAAATTAGATACATATTACAACATTTGTCTGCAAGCTTCTGAGAGAGTAGTTGTCATTTTTTTACATAAAATGATGGGACACTTGATTTATTTATTTTTTTGGGTCATTTACCTCTCAATGGCGGCTAGTATGAAATCAACAAACAGGACAGTACTCTCTCGTGGCTTAATTGGATGTGTGGTGGGCAGACGCTTGCTGAGCTGGTTGAACAGGGAGGACACCAGGTTCTCCAGCCTGGTCACAGAAATGCCAGCATTTAATTCCACGGCATTCAGACCGGCGTCGCGCACCGCTTCGATGACGTTGTATACGTCGATGAGATGCACTGCAAGGGGAAAAAAAAAAAAAAAAAAAAAGCTTTTCAAATATAGGCAATCAATTGAACAGTTACAGTATCCGGATTTTACTTCGAGACTTACAGTTACATCTCTTCTGTATGAATCTCAGCTTGCAGGCTGTTCGATATGCGGAGAGACAGATGGCATCGAGGTTCTGATCTGCTGTAACGCAGAAGGGACATTTTAAGAACGCTCACTTCAATCAAAAGGTCAAACGCGGCACTCACCGAGCTCCACCAGGATCTGCCTTCTGGATGCTCCCATGGCAAGTGGGTCCCCCCGCCTTCTCTCTGCCCGGCCCCCCTCCTCCATCACCATCTTGCATCAAGCACCTACAACACAACCAGGGATACGCTTAGCGGTCACGATTCACCTGATCCTGAAGTCACGCAAAACATCACACGCCATTTGTACATGATTGTATTAAATTGTGATTGGTTGGCATTTGGCAGGACGTAATTCAAGTGGCAACAAGATTAAGTCCATAAATGTTGTTTTGATGTCTTTTTTTTTTTTTTATATTTAAAAAAAGAAGACGACGACACGGGAGAGGAAGATGGAGAACACTCGATCAATCATTGCGAGACTGATCATATCTGACGTTGGAGAGAAGCAAGAAATGAAAACAAGGTGGATAGTCTCTCCCGCAAACGTGAAATACAGTACACACAAATATTAGCATTCCATGTCTAAACATCGTGACAGGCTAAGCCACGCCCCCATTCACCCACCACCCCCTGTGCACATTCCAGAGAGGATTTGAACACTTCCCAGGAGGCCTCATGCTGTAGTCAGACAAAAGACGGATTCCTCCTTTCAGTCGACGCACGCACGCATGCACACAACCTTACTTCTTAATCCCAGTTAGTCAAGTGCAAGTGTCATTTGTTGGGCGGCGCAAAGGGATCCCCTTTCGTGTGCAACTACTTGACTTGACTCTTAAATTCCGTACAAATAAATAAATAGATCTTGGAGATTACAAATACTTCATTGTCATTCTCTTTTTTTTCATGGGCTCTTTCCTCTGGAGCTCCGTGACACCGTGCCAAATTATTTCGACACTCGGTGACGCGTGCAAATTATTCTAAGTTATTTGATTCATCTTTCCAGGCCGACGGACATCACTTGGGAAGAAATGTCGACAGCATGCTCGCTAAAACTGAGTCATAACGAGATGGGAATGGAAGGTTTGATGCAGCGGAAGTTATATAAAACTCATCTTGCGTTCGCCGCACCAGCTGTTGGGGACGATCTCTCGCTAAGAGATGACGACTCTCTCCAGCTCGCCACTTCTCCCACTCCCATGGTGAGTGCAACTATTCTTATCAGCAACTGAGCCTTCGCCGCAGCTACGAGCGCGCCGCGCAACCGAGTCTGCGACGCCGACGTGTAGGATCTCGGTGGTGCAACGTCTGCCTCCCTTTTTTTAAATTTGGAAGCTTAAAAGTATCTGAGATAGAACCGTCCGTCCTTGCCGTTATTACTCCCAACTGGGTCAGGACAGGAATAGTGCCGTTGCTACCGTCGCAATCACGACGGGCACTTCTCAGAAATTGCATGAAACAAAATGTTGGCTGGCTCACAGGAAGTAAAAATGGAAGGAAATATTTCAGTCCACCGTTTGCGGCTGTTACACCTTTCAAAGCGTAAACAACTGTACTCGGTAAACGACACCGCTGGTGATCGTTTTCCTTGCAGCGAAAGGGGGAGGAGGGATTGATTCAAACCGGAAATCAGATTTTTATGATCAAAATCTGAAATTTGATGGAAAAAAAAAGGCCTCCAAAATTCTACGCTCAATAAAAGCATCAAACGAGTTACTCCCCGACATCAAATGTATTCTTGGTTTATGAGCAGTGGACACAAGCTGCAAGTAAGTTGAGAGCGGCGACAAGAGTCCTGAGAGGAACATTTTTGCACCCGTGCCTATAGAAAGTCCAGAGCAAATGGAGAGGAACCTTTGGCATTTACAGATGACAGCATGTGTGTTGCTTATCTGTTTTTTTTTTGTTTTTTTTTGCACCATGGTGTTTTATTATGGTTGACATTTGCTGAGCTGCGTAAAAACAAATACACTTAGGCAATGTTTGGTAAATCCTAATCCAAACCACATTTCCCCTCAGCGTGTATGTATGAACTCTTCCACCGGGTGGAAATATGGCGTGTGCGGCGTGAAATGCGTGGTCGTACCTCTCGGTGTGAGAGGTGGTGGGTCTCACTGGGCAAGCGCAGCCTCAAAGACGTCTAATAAAGAGGCAGACGGAAGAAAAAGGGCCATTTAAGAAGTACTTTGAGACACCAGACAATTACACAGGTACACACTCTCTTGCTGCTTCTGATCTTATTGACACACAGTCGTACAGTTGCGTTAGAGAGCCTGCCAAGTGCCAAATTAAAAAAAAAAAAACCAATGGGTGAATACACAAAGCACAGCGATAACCTGCTGTTTTATTGTACTTAAAATGGTTTGAGACCTTGTTATTTTTAACCGCAGTCCAAATTGTCCTGATGCTAAACCTGCAACAAAGTCTGAAGAGCAGCCGTCGGCAAGCTTCCAGCAACAAAGAGACGGAAAACATTTATCCCCAAAATACAGTCGTACTCGGGGATTACTGAGGTGATGTCGTCGACACTTGCTGGATATTTATATGCGTGTACATTGAGGCAGCACAAATCATTCTGACAGCCGCGCAATGTCTTTTTGAGTGAACGGAATCCTCCAGAATATAGGTTGGCAATATATCACCCCCCCCCACCCTCCACCCTCCCCATAGTCTTTCAGGAACTTCTTGAGATGCAGCAACATTTGGATGCTTTTGGGTCAGTTAAAATCCATCTATGACATAGAACGCTTGACCACATTAAGACGTTGGGCGAGCCGGAGACCATCGCTCCCAATTGACTTCGAGCAAGCGACACCTTGGACCGGGTCAGGGCCAATCTATCGCAGGGCACATCCCGTACAGACAACCATTCATACCAATTTAAAAAAAAATAAAAAAAAAGGGAATCTTCAATGAATTCAACTAAATGCAAACTCCAAAGGGTGAGGGCCTGAGCCGATACTAGAACAAAAAAGCTAAACGTCAACTGTGAGGGAGATGTGCTTCTGTCCGGTAAATGATCACTTTTTTTTGCGTACTTATATTTTAGCATGAGAACACGTTGACCCTGAAACATTATTTCGAAAGAAATTCATCGTCAACATGACGTCGCTATGTCCAAATAAGATCTGTCAATTATTAGTTCAGTGTCTTCCATAATTCCAGGTGAGGGAATGTGTTGCATCAAGGCAGACCACCCAACCGGTGCACCCCCGTGCAACCACAATACAGAGACCGTCTTTTACCATAACAAAACGCTTGTAAGGCCTGAAAGTCGTGCATATCACATCACTCTCTCATTTGCACGTCCAAATACACACACACACACACACACACACATACACACCTGTTTGCAGTGGCGCTCGGCCTAAAACGGACACACAAACGACTGGACCTGCAGCCCAAAAAGAATTCCCCACAGCGGTTGAAGACGAAGCCCGCGGACGAAATGCTGGAAGACTCGGGGGAAACAAGAAAGAGGCATCAGGCAGGCGAAGGCGTACTAAAGAGGGGCAAGAGGGTGTTTACCACCCTTCGGATGCCACACAGCCACACAGGCATAGCAAACCACATGACCACATAGCCATTCGCAGCTGCTCTGTATTGTCATGTGTACCCTGACAGGTCTCTAGCTGTGCGTGCGTGCGTGCACTATGCATGATGCGCACGTCGTCAGAATAACTCTCGACAGACGTGCCAGAAATACCCATGAGAGCTACAGTACAGTATATCTTTTCTCGACGCCTCTTTACTCCCATACAGAAAACAGATGAGGCTCATTGACTTAAATATCACATTTCAATTTCTTTTTTTTTTTCAAGTGTCAGCTTTAACAGGAAAACAGGAAGCCAAATGTTCAATTACCCTTCATGTACTTACCGTGAATGTGAGAGGGTTTGAAATGTCCTCACTTGACGTGGCACTACCAGGAAACACGACTCACGTGGATCGCGTTTTATTTGTCAGCAAATGACCGTCGCCGTTGGATCCGAATGGAATCACATCACCTTACGTTACCTCTCCCCCAAAATCTATACTCTGGCCTAGACCAAAGGTTCCTTAAACAAACAAAGATTACTATCTAGCATGCCATGTTTGATTTTGAGGATGAGTCGTGAGATCGCTGGGCTGCAATACGGTGAAGAGTTGGAGTTTACGGTACATGTCATGGACCCGACTTTCAGTTTTTGAATTGTCTCCGACTCTCACGGAAAAACCTGAATGCTCCCGAAATGTGGTGGAGGGTCCTCTGCAAAGTGTCCTATTACATGACTAGATTGGTACAAACATTAACCCACAAGTGCTCTCGAAAGCCACTTTTGCGTGAGCAAGAGGGAAAAATCTAACCGCATTAAGTTCTTCACGGTCCGTGAGACGCAAACATGTCATTCAAACTGGTGAGTTGGAGAAAATCCGATACACTGCAATGTTCAAATAACACGGCTTAGCAAAAGCTAAACTACGTTTGTCCAAAAGCCTGTTCAGATCATCAACTGTATACTGTATCTGGTCCACATTGTACCTATAGGTATGACAAAAATAAAACACACACACACACACACACACACACACACACACACACACACACACACACACACACACACACACACACACACACACACACACACACAGGAAAAACATTGGCACTGTTGCCACAACACCAGCTGATGTCCACGCATGCAGCAGAAATCAGCCGAAAAGTCTGACTGAACAGAGACGGCAAAACGCAGAGTAGCACTGCACACAGATGTCGATGTGATGGCCTTTATAAGCTGGAAGGGAAGGAAAGAGTGCGAACATCAGATGTCGAGACTTAAGAGTGACAAGACTGAAAGGCCACACCAAGAAATCGGAAGTGAATGTGTGCTTCCTGCCTTGAAGGAAAAAAAAAAAACACAAGAACATAACAAAGCAAAACAGAAATGTTGAGTTGATTCAATTGCATCGATCGTGCGTGTCTGCCAACGTAATTCTCCATTCCCAACATGCGCCACATCTTTTGCGTTTATTCAAGACTCTTCAAAGAAATCTTATTTTGACACCCACTTTGCCCAAATAAAAACCTTGCCCAAACAAATCACCGACAAGTACTGTAAAGACACAATATGAAACTGCCAGGGCAGCAGAAAGTGTCTTCAGGTGACATTTTGGTTTCATGTGAGTTTCGCCTCTAGTATTTCTCCTTTTCACTTCCTCTTTAGCTGAAACAATGCCAGGTGGTAAAAAAAAGATGATGGAGCCTGCTCAAAAAGCTCTGTTGGGTTTACCAGTTAGCCTTAAAATCCTGGAACCTACAGTTGTAGTTTCTTTGAGTTTATCCCATCCCCAGGCTGCTTTTTTTCCCCGTTTCGTTTATACCTCTGAGCCTAATAGTCAATTACGGTAACTTAAATGTTGCATTGTTGGATGAGGACAAAACAAATATGCAAAGTGTTCCGCTGTGTGCAGCTCTTCCTGTTTACAATAGCATATACCGGATTAATACATTTCCAGCCGACTGATGTTATCTCACAGCTGTATTACTTAAAACAAAAGCAACTACTTGCCCCAATGATCAACTCGTAACTGATGCATTGGTGTTTTATTGCCACAAATGGCTCCTGGGGCTGTCAACAGTGTACTAGACCCCCCCCCCCCAAAAAAAAAGCTCAAACCGGCTCTGATAACACCTCTCAGCACTCCTGCTCACCCCAAAGGTCAGAGCAGCCCCATTCCAACCATTTAACATGAAGCAATTCCCTGGGGCTGCCAGATATCAAGAGGAAAACAAAAAATGTTTTCTAAAAAACTAGTACTAAAGGTTTCAGCCGTTTTCTGGTTGAAACCGCGTGCGCGTGACAAGAGAAATCAGACACTTGTCGGTAGCACTTCTGTCAGTGTCAACAGAGGAGGAAGCAGGAGAGATGAAGTGGAGAGTGACGCTTTTCATCACGAAGAAGCGACTAGTAAAAACGATCTGAGTGGTACAATATATGACTAGCAAAGAGATGATTCACTGATCAACGTTATTATTAAAAATCGTTGCAGGATACACATGTGCAGGACCCCATGACTTGGACCCCCCCCCCCCAAGTGACGAATAAATACCCCGCTGAGTTCTGCACACTTCGATTAGCTTGAAACGTTCACACTTTGTATGCAGAGGTTATTTTGATCATCTGGATTACAGCGCCGTTTTATGGACAATGAAGGTCAAATAAAGGACGAACAAGAGCAAAGTCAAACAGCAGTCTTGATGTGTAAAAAAAAAAAAAAGGCAAAAAAGTGGGCACGACTCGAGAGGAACGTGACACACAAGGAAGGGAGGGACGCCGCTGTGGACAAAAACCTCTGTTCAAAAACAGCACAAAACTCTTCTAAAAATGATTTGAACTACCACAAAATATTTTTAAAAGACTTCAGTTTTATCAATGGAGTTACTTGTGTGGCTATGACGTCAGCGGCCATGTTGATGAAAGTTGCTCGCCCCAACAAACACAGAACGTGACAAATAAAACAGCCAAGTGTTGAATCGAGCGATATTGACACGCATAAAATATCAAATAAAGATTTCGAAAGCGAAATTAGACTCACCGACAGGTATTCGGGGCGGGCTGCCGACATCAACAAACAAACATGAGGCTCGAGACTCAACTTGTTCTCCGCTTTTCTTGCCTTCTTCACACCGCGATCGTTCGTCCCCTTGGTTGTCTCTCCTCGCCTCGTTATACTTTTAAAACATGTCGTAGCCGTCCAGTTTTGTATTCCCGTCGTAGCGAGCCATGTTCGTGCAAGCCTGCGGGGCGGCTGCCTCCCTACCAGCCCGCCTTGTACCGGTGACCGCCGACTGACTGGAGAGGAGCATTTTTTGAAAGTAGTCACTCCTCTTTGCACCCACCACGTTCCCTCCCATTATTATGATGGCCTGCTTAACCTTCACATCCATTTCACGCTGCGATCACTTTCACTTGTACGACACTTACGTCATCATGATGACACCGGCTCATGACAATAACAACAATTTACTATAAATAGGAAATGGTTCTTATACGTTGGCCGCCGTTCGTCAGCAGTTCTTCAATGCAAACTGGAACCGGTGCACGTTGCTGCATGAAGTTAACATGCATGTTATTGGGAGGAAGGGAGGAACAACCTGGAGAAAATCCATGCAAGCGCCACATAGGAAGGCTACGATTTTATTTAGGATTTATTTATTTACCATAAATTGCAGGACTGCAACCGCTCTGGTTGCTCCGTCACTATTTCAAAAATTGAGAGTAAAGGTGGTCTTCGGGGAGGACTGTAAGTTGCAAGTGCCCTTTTGACTAGCTTGCATTGTCCAATTGTGAAATTCACCAGCAACGTGTGATCAAATGGCACACAAACACGTGCAGACACTTTGCAAAGATTTAGGAAGATTGAAATCCTGTGTGATGCCTCTGCCAGTGAGCATTGCTATTATATTTACTGGAGCTATTTTTTTTTTTTAAATCCTAAATACACATGCATTGTTTGTTTTATTTTATTTTTTTAATGACAGAGGTCCACTGTAAGTTGTAATACTGATTTAAAAAATACCATCCATAATATCTGTAAATTTTAAGTGGATAGGCTCAAACAAGGCAAACAATGAAAATGTGGAATCTTTTATTTGTAACATTATTTATGAATATTAAACATCCAGGCAGTCCAACACGATACCGCTCAGCCTCACAAGAGTCAGAGGTTGTTCTGGAGCCTGTCACCAACCAATTGCAGGGTGCTATAGACAAACAAGTTCAACCATTCACACTCACATTCACACTGAAGGGCAATTCCGGATCTTCAGTGAACCTAGCCTGCGTGGGAGGAACCCACAGAAAACCTCCACAAACACAGGAGGTAATGCAAACAAGTGGCAACAACTTGAGACTGAACAAAAATGAGTTTCCCAAAATAATTGCCATTTGGGACACCAAGCATTTTCCAAAACAACCAAGAAAAAGGACAGCAGGAATTGATCTTTCCCTCCTGTTGCAAACCCGGGCTCCGTAAATGAAAGGGAAAATCCAGTTGTGCGTCATGTTTACGTTGGTGGGCAAATCCAATGTCCATCACAAGTGAGATAAAAGCACAGCGATCAGACTCTGATGTTTACTTTGCGGATACACAACGACTGAGACAGGAGCTTCACCTGAGAATCAACATGATGAGGATATTTGCCTTCGCTGTGGTCGTCAACGTTGTCCTCCAAACGGTAGGAAAATCTAATTCCAACGTAACTGCAGTGTTCTGGAAAATAGATGGCTGTTATGTTTGAATGAATGTGTATGGAATAAAAATCCATTGGCCATTGCCATCGCTTGACTCGATCCATTTGAAACCGACAGGTGCCAGGCTGCCTCTCGTCTTGCTCCATAAAAGGCTCAGTAGCCAACTGCGCCTTGAAGAAGCTGCGCTGGATCCCCTCTCTCCCTCCCAACATCACCCACTTGTACTTGGAGATGAACCACATCGGTGAGATTAACGCCACCTCGTTGTCCGGCCTGGAGATGCTGCAAGAGCTGGACTTGGGTCTTCAGTATTCCACGCTAGTTATCCGAAACGATGCGTTCAGGCGGCAAAGACGCCTCAGGAAGTTGGTGCTGGGTTTCAATACGAGGCTTCAACTCGAGCCGCGGGCCTTTTCAGGATTGTCCACTTTGCAGAGTCTCCACCTGGATTACTGTTCCCTGGATGAATCCATCCTGAAGGAAAACTATCTGGAGCCGCTTTCGGCGTTGGAGACGCTTGATTTATTTGGCAACCGGATCAAGAGGCTCCAGCCTTCAATGTTCTTTTCCAATATGACTCATCTGAGACGTTTGAATCTGAAACTGAATCGCGTCAACAAAATATGCGAGGCCGATCTGGCCGCCTTCCGGGGAAAGCAATTTGAATCCGTGAATTTAGACTCCAACAACCTTAAGGCGATGTTTGATGAAAGCTTTGATCCGGATGCTTGCGGGAACCCTTTCAAAGGAATATCTTTTGGGACACTTGACTTATCCCATAATGGCTTCAGTATCGGCAACTTCAAGCTATTTTTCAAAGCTATCGAGGGTACTCGGATCGCTCATCTCAAGCTGTCAGGACACATCGGTCGAGGGTTTTCATTCAGCAATCTCCTGGATGTGAACAGAAGCACTTTCGAGGGCCTCGGGAACAGTTCGGTCAGCATGTTGGATCTGTCGAAAAACAGGATATTTGCGTTACAAGACGGAGTATTCAAGCCGTTGTCAGAAATTCAAGTGATCGACCTCTCTCAAAACCGACTCAATCAAATACACAAAAATGCTTTTGAAGGTCTGGAACATTTAAAAAAGCTCGACCTGTCGAATAATTTGCTCGGGGACATCCGAGCTCATAGTTTTGCTCCTCTAAAGAACTTAAAAGTGTTGGACCTCTCTTGCAATCACATCGGTGTTTTGGGCTATCAAGCATTCCGTGGACTTTTTCATCTGGAAGTACTAAATCTCACCGGAAACTCTCTGAAGGAGTTTGGCTTCCCCAGCGCTCTGCCGAGTTTAAGTTATCTCAGTTTGAACGACAACAAATTGACCTTTGCAGCAGTGGACACCATCGCAGCGGTTGCCCCCAACGTTACATATTTGGACATTCGGAACAACAGGGTAGAAAACTTGCAGGGTGCGTACATTTTTTTGACCAAGCTGAAAAAACTCCAGCATCTTTTCTTCGGAGGGAACCCCATCAAGTGGTGCGCAATCAATACACAAGTTTCCGAAAAGAAGCAGAGCAACGTGAAGGTGTTCGATCTCCACAGCAGTAACTTGCAGTCACTTTGGTCTCAAGGCAAATGTCTCGATGTGTTCGAGGGTCTTCACCATTTGCTCAGTTTGACCTTGAGCTCCAACAACTTGCGCTCTCTTCCGAAAGGCATCTTCCAAAGTCTCCCCTCACTTCTTGAGTTGGACCTCTCATCCAACGCTTTAACTTATCTCCGGCCAGATGCGTTTCCCAAAAGCCTTAAATTCCTCAACCTCGCCAACAACTTCATAGCGTCCCCCGACCCGGCCCTCTTCCGCTCGCTCAGCGCCCTCAACTTAAATCTGAACCGGTTCCACTGCGATTCAAACCTGACTAACTTCTTGATGTGGATGAAGGAAACGAACGTAACCTTTGCGAGTCCCGTCGAGGACTTCAGGTGTGAATTTCCTCTTGCTTTCTATCAAGCTTCTCTGTGGGATTACTTCACTCAGCTTCTGGGCACCGGAAGCACTTCAAATGATTTATAACCTCGCATACATTGATGATAACTGATGTATAATAACTGCATATAATAAAGCTTTCTTTCATTCAATTTAACTGTATTATTTATAAGATGATTATCAGCTGGAGGCATGTATTTCTTTTCTACACCAGAGAGCAGCATAGAGCTAATATTCACAAGACCCTGGGACTCTACGGACCTTGCACCAGCTGGTCTCAGTGCCCCTGTGACACTACATCAAGCACCATATCTTGTTTTCATAAAGCTTTATATGCATGTCTAAATATTGAGTTGCAAAATGGAATGAGTAATAAATGCAATTTGAATAATTGTGAAAAGTACAGCATATAAGCCATTGTTTTTATTTTGAGTAAGAACATTGCCTGAGTTTGTCTGAAATCTGGTGCAGCGCTCATTGCGGAATCACATTGGCAAGCGGTTCCAAAATACACTCCTGCCGTCCTCATAAAGCTGCATACTGGTCATGAAATATTTAATTGCAAGGCAGGGGGCGAGGAAGAGGCCTTTTCTTTGCCTGTAAATCATCTGCTGAGAAGACTCACATTGCATGAGGGAAATTCGATTCCCTTCTGCGTATGTGGATTATGGATGTGTGTATGTTAAAGAACAAAATAGAAGGGAATGCAAAGAAATATCCATCCATCCATCCATCCATTTTCAATGGCACCTATCCTGAATGGAGTTTTGCTGGAGCCGATCCCAGTTAACTTCGAACAAAAGGCGGACGGCACCCTGAAATGGTCGCCAGTCAGTCACAGGGCACATATAGAGACGAACAGCCATTCACAACCACATTTACACCGTCACCGTGCCCACAGTGCCTGCTCACAAATCAGTAACTTTACAAATGAATAAATTATTGAACAACATATATTATTTCATACGTTGAATCTATTTGTAAGGAATGGTTTCAGGCTATCGCTCCATCAGATTATAGCAGGGTTAAAAAAAAAAAGCATTAAATGTGACAACACAATGCTTGTGTCAGTGCTTTTATTCATTTTTTTTTTTTTTTTTACCCAGACAGATGAGCTCAGCATTACTGCCGTTTGCTATTTTACAACCATGAAAGATATGAGACCACTCCCCCCTACTCCTCTATCCATTCCGCAACTGGCAGGTTACCATGGAGACTGGCTCCGTATTCCACCCCCTCCAACAGTCGTTCCTCACTTCCTGATTGTCTTTGGCTCACTGCTTCCATCCACCCCCCCCCACCCCACAACCCCCGCCTCCTTTTTCCATCGGCATGTCACTTCCTACCTCCCCCACAGTCCCCACAGCACTCTCACGGTCATACAATATTTGACGAGGCCGACACAGAACAGTGACTTCACGGACACATGTCTAATAAGGTTTATCCAGAGACAATCAACAAAGACATACTTATTGACATATATTTTTTTTTTCTAAATCACATTCACCCTGCCTTTACCGTAAAGTCAGCGCCATCATGTAAATAGTTTACTCTTAATGTTGCATGAAATAGAACAAATGAACAGCAGACATGAAAAACGCATCACTAATGTACGGCTGACGATGAATGAAACTCGACTCTAATAGTTTTACTTACCGTAATATTCACTCTGATATTTAAAATCCAATCTCCTTCATTTACTAATGCAATATGAATGTGCAAAATCCTCTTGCATCGCACATCGCGTTGACACATAGCGATTTTTTCAATTGACCCATGACACAACATGTGAATATTTTCTCACTGTGAGAGAAAAAAGACACATCGAATTTGCAGGAATGCATCAGGACATTTCATTTGACCCCTTAAAGACATGAAATATGTACACTGATATCATATACAGGATAGAAGCCACTTTGGTGTCACACAAGCATACGCACACCCGCACCGGCATTTACGACTCTTTGCTCTCTCCTGTTGAACTAAATTTTACCTTGTTTCCTTTGATGAGCTCTTTAAGGTCCTTCAGACACCTGCAACCATTTTTTGTGTTGCTCAAGAGGTGTTGTTGTATGTCCCAGCACCGTATTTTGCAGCAAAATGAATTACAATTAAAAACACGCGTTGCTAAAGCTTCAGCGTTTCACTGCGCCGACGCTGGCGTGGCAGTGGTACAAGCCGAAAGGGAAACATTGGAAGAGGAAGAAGTGAGAGACTTTTGGCTTTGATACCTGCAAAAAAATAAAAAATAAAATAAAAAAGGAATGTTTTTTTTTTTTTAACCAGCATGTCAAATAAATGACTGAAAATCTGAATCGCAGGTTAAGTAGACTATACATGAACAATGAGATTACAGGCTGCTGAGAGAGTGATGGGGGTGGCTAATCCTGAATAATTCCATTTAGATGCATTACGTAAACCCGTTGACACTCGCCAGGGAAGGGCTGAGGAGTAAAAATGGAGATTTCCATTAAGGGCTAATGCATTACAGGAGCTTAAGTGCATATTACTCATTCACGTACCGATGGCAGAGGTTGCCAGTTCTAAAACTTCTGAGCAATTTCTGTGAAGTGACACCTTAAAGCAGAGGTAATATCTCACTATTTGACTTACCAGGATCGAGATTTGTGAACAGCTCTGTCGTTGGTCGGAGAGTTGTCCACAGAGGAGCTTTGGTTCAGCTCTGCATACTTGAAGCGACCCAATGAGGCGGTGTTTGGAGGGTTCATGTCCAGCTCCAGAAACATGATGTTCTCAGCCTTAGCGAACGCACGCACACACACACACACCCACACCCACACACATATATACACACTTGGTGCAATCTAAACTTAAATGTTTATTTCAATGACATGATGCTATTCCTCAGTGGGCACCTATGTACTAATGGATCGTGCAATGGTTTCATGAGTACATTTTTTTTTTCCGTATGTGTCCTGACTCCATGGATCGCTTTAATTTCAATCATCAAAAATACATCATGAAAAAAATGAAACATTAATTATGTTTCAGTTGGCCTGCGCTGACTATTATGCCCTTTGATTTAAATGATTCGCCTCCACATTACTCCACTGACCGCCGGCGCCAATTATTTTGCTTATTAAGTGATCGACGCAGGTCGAATTAACATTCGAGACCATATTTTCAGTTGTCTGCGCTTTCGCGGTGATTCATTAATGGCGGAGGGAATATCTATATTTATATAGTTTCGGGTGATGTATTGTATACTTACCCTGAATCTGTTATTAGCGCCCATCGTTATGGCAACCCTGGCATATTGGCTGATTGGTCTTTTATAGCCAACTGCAGATGTTGGCCTTTTCTTCATCTGCAGGGGTTTGCTGAATAGGAGAGGAAGCGGGGACAGAAATCACTGAGGACCGGCTCGTATTGCACATTTCATGCAGTGTCAATCAATCCAGTGCCAAACACTGACCTCTCAGCGGGAACCAGAGGCTGGAACTTCCATTGATCCTCTTCGGGGTCAAAAGTCATTCTGCTCATGATCTTATTTTTCTCCTCTGGAGGGATGAAGTTCTCGATGATTAAATACCTACACGAGAAAGTGTTCCCACATTCAGGTCCCGGTTTTGACGCATTGTAACGACACTAGTGGAGTTATGTCAGAATGGCAGGCATATCATTGAAATATATTCGACATGGAATTCCAACGATCAAAGCGAGCTATTTCCTCACTTGAATTTGAGCTCTCGAGTGAGCTCGTTCTGGGTTTGCTCCAGTTCCTGACGACTCCTCACGTGCTCGTCATTGACATCCTGGATCTCCGCTTTGATGCACTGGAGCTTGGCGTACAACTAGGAGGAGAGACGCAGAAATGAAATCACTCAACGACCATGTATGGGAGGTTAACTGAAGATTTTAAAGCGTCCATAGATCTGAATCTAGGTGTGAACTTCTCTGCCAGTGTTCTGAGTGCGGCAAGGGAGTCTGCACCGCAATTTCTGTGCCACTGCGTGCTCGCCGTTTCCAGTGTTTGAAACGTGTACCTTCTTGAGTTTCTTGGTTTTGGCCTCGACCTCCTGCTGCAGAGAAGTAAAAGTCTCCCTCAGCTCCAGCGTCTCATCGTCCTGGACCATCATCTGCTGCTGCATCTCCCTCTCGTTGCGCGACTGGAAGCATTCGTGGAAATACAACTATGACAATCTGCAGCCATCCAGCATACTCTGCAAAGACACAGACCTGCTCCGCAATTTCCTGCCTTTTCACTTCCAGCATCTTCTGCTGCTCATTGGTGTGATCTATGATGTTCTTCCCGCCGACCAGCAGCTTGCTCTCCATTGCCTGGAAGAGAGAAACAAGAGCCCGCAGTCATTAACGTCATACAAAGCACAACGGATGCAGTTTCAATAACATGAGCTATGGCCCGAAGATGGCATAATTTGATCTTTTTTTTGGATGAGCTCACTGTGTGTCACAACAATGTGTAAGCTCCTAAAAATATGGTGAAATAGACCTACACTCCGCTCACATGATGTTTGTTGGAGCTGATGGAGCCCAATGCAGCACTGACGAGGCAGATGGAAGTGAGCAACTCAAACGGCCCCACGTTGACACTAAGCCGCAACAAGCTGAGCTGTGCTCCAGCATGATGAATTCACGATCAACTGGGCGCATCAATAAAAACCTCATTAATCTTGCTTCATGGCTGATATGTGGACCGTAAAGTCAGTTCCTCATAAGGGAGCAAATTATGTCCCAACTCTGTGGCATTTTGAAAAAAATAAAAATAAATACACCCGCTCCTATAGCGTAAGAAACATTGAGGAAAAAAAAATTGAAAAGAGCCCCTAAAGATGGGGAGGCCACATTCTTGCCATAGGGAAACAATCAAGTGTGTGTTTAAATTGTAAGCAGCCTAAACATTCTGTGAACTTGCACACGCCACACTCTGCTGCCATTCACGTAATTACATGTGAAAACAGAAAACACAAAAACACTTGTGCAACGGGTACAGTGGAGTCCTTCAGAGAGAAAGCGTCAAGGGCTTTTACAGAAAGCCTCTTTGTTGTCAGGGGCCGCCTTTTGTCTTCTGTGTTTGTATGTGCGCGTGCTTGTTTCCATCTCTGTGAGGACAAACAATATTTAAAAACCAACAGGGGGTACACATGCACCGGAGGGAACCAGACAATTTAAGAGGTCAGTTTGAGGGGTGCAGACTTTTCAAAGTTGCGGTTGAAGAGGCGCTCTGGAATGTATTAAAATGGTGCTTTGCTATTCAATCATGTTATAGCTATAAAAAAATAAAAAAAAGATGTGCATGTGGATGTGTGTGCTGCTGTCCTCTGCGTTCAATCATGTTCATTGTGCTCCATTAATGGGCTGATTCATGTTCCGGGGGAGGGGTGGGGGGGGGGGTCTCTCTCTCTCATGCATGTTCCTTTCTACTGATAAGCTGCTTCTTGTTATAGAAGAGAGTACTGTAAATGCAGCCATGGTCAGTCTGCATTTTTAAATGACTGCCATGGGATTTTCTGTTAATTCACAGTCAATCAGATACAATGTAAGCTAACATTATTCAAATTTGCCCAATAGTATATTCATAAGTCGCCTATTAAGTCCATCTGAAGCGCTGCAAGTGTGCCGCAGTGCTAATGATGTCCTCTTGCATTTTTTTAACCCTGGACTGGATCAATTTTCCTAATGGGAAAGTGAAGAAGAGTGAAAAGAGTTTCATCTTGAGCCGCTGGAGCCTTTGAATGAGGCGCCCAATCCCCATGAAGCCGAGGCCTGCGGGGAGTGACTGAGCTATAAATACAACGTGACGACAACAGGTCTCGCGTGTGCAACAGAAAGACCGAAAGACGATGGAGACAAAGAGGGAGGTTTGATGTTGAAAGGTAAGGACAGGAAACAGGAGAAAATCACAAAGGTCGAGCAATCTCCACATCAGTCAAAAAAAAAAAAATTAATCGAATCCTTCTCAAAATAAGGCTGCACATAATTTTTAAAAAAATATTCATGCTTTTTTGGGTCAAATTAATTTCATGAAGTGGTAGTTTTGATTGTAGTTGAAGTTGTTTTCATCAAACTAGCTCTTTCAACTCATGGAGAACATTTATTCCCTGATTTCCCTTTATCTCTACAGCACTCCCAAACTCATTACATTGTACGCATACAGACACGCACTCCATCAATATTTCAGTGCGGTCTTCGCCGTTGAAAGACACACAGTGCGGACGGGATGTTTGAGTTCATCAGCTTACACACACACGCAAGCGCTAACTCACAGGCCTTTTCCTTCACTGATGAAACAGGAAGGTGGAAAAAAAAAAAAAAAGCATAGCAGGAAACAGTCAATCTACCCCTAAAAGAATGCCCATATTGTGTACACGTGGACCCAAGTCGAGGTCCGGTACAGAGAAAGGCTGTGTGTGTTTGTGATGCTGAAAATATATCCTGTTTTGTCATAGGCCAAACCTCACACAACATGACTGTACTGTAAGCTGGTGTGAGTCACAATAGAAAGGATGTCTGCCAAAGTCAACCCTGTGCTCTACCTCTTGGCTGATCAACTCATATACGCGGCCGATGCCCCGCAGCCATCACGACAAAGGAAGAAGAAACCCAAGAATGACAAGGACAAAGGACGATGATCCGGTGTTGACCTAGAAAAGTGACTCCAAGAATAGTCCTGAGGCTATTTCACAGGAGGCTTCGCGTTCTCACAATTGACAGCTACCATCCATCCGCACATCTTCTACCATACGGGTCTGCTTCGGTGACACAAAGAAATGAAATCTATCCCAGTTGAAGAAACCGGAACCGATCACGAGTCAGTCACGCAGTGTGCAGAAAGCGAGACACCTACTTTAACGACATCGTCAGTGTTGTCGCCGTAGCTGTTTTTAGACAAAAAAAAAAAAGTCTGTTTGCCTGCTGTACGATTCTGTGCAGACGGCTTTGACACGTTGGCATGTTGCATCTGAACTGAAATGGCGTTAACAAGAAACGAGAGGTTAGGAACCAGATATGAACCGGTGAAGTTGTGAATACATGCGCCCAACTGCCAACCTGCAGAACGCACACAGTCGGAGCGTCGCATGTTGCCGCTCGGCCCATCTGACAGCATCCCGCAGAAACATCAAATGACCCAACGCAGCCTCGCAAGGATGCTCCTGACCTACTTTGCTCGTCAATGTGTCGTGTGGCTGCCTTGAGAGAGATGGGGACTTCATTTGATCTATAATTGGTTATTTATTGATTCATCTAAATGACGTCGCAATTGCAAATGGAACACCACATTGAAAAAAAAATGTTGGAAGCCATTTAGGGCTTAGAATGGGTCACACAACTTGACTGCAACCAGCCGGAGCTCTGTTGACTAAAACTTCAAGTTTGGGGAAGCTTGGATCAGCATGCAAAGCCTTGATCGAGCATGTTTCAAGGGACGCTGATGCAAGGACAGGAAATACTTGACCTCAATCATCTTCTCCCTCGAGGCGAGGGAGAATTTTGCTGATTCCCGTGGCTGACACCACTCAGCAGCCACCCAGTCAGCATCGAACACGAGAACTTGCACCGTCCAGCGAGATTACAGGAGATTTGAGACGGTTCAGCAGTATCGGGCGCGCAGTGCTTTTGAAGAAGGGAGGGAATAATAGAGGCCCTGACACAGAAATGTATACAACATCACTCCCTGGGGGGAGCGTTGCTGGTGTCGAAATTAGGACCTCTTTTCGCATTATCCCTGATAACTTCACAAATAATAATTGAATTGAGTATATGAAACATAATAATACGATCTGTCAACTATTGGTCCTTCTACTCAATCTCTCAACATGAATGACTTGTTGACAGCAAATGACTGGAAAATATGTGCATGAATCAGAGCAATAATAAACAAAGCCGTGTGGCACGTTCCGATTCCTGGTTGGCAGGGGGCTGACATTTAAATATCGAGTATATGACCATCCTCACCTTGTACTTGGCTGTCAGTTGCTCGGTGGCTTCCTGCTCCTTCCGAAGATCCCCCATCATCCTCTCTTTCTCGCCAAGAAGTCTCTGCTTCTCATCAGCCAAGAGTGATCGATCGCCTCTGATGGCCTCCTTCTCCCTCTCCAGACGCTGCTCTTCTCGCTTCACGTAGTCCTCACCGTCCTTCTCCACCTCCTCCTCTTCCTCACACTCGGCGTCTTCATCCCCATCTTGATCTGAGGCCTGGTCATCCGACCGCTCCTTCTTCTGCTTGTTCCTCCACTTCCTGTGGTTGAGCTGGGCCCTGAGCCGAGCAATCTCCCTCTGAAACTCTCGGAGGAGAGCGTCTTTGGGGTCCTCGTTGACTCGAGGCTGGTTCTGGATGTTCTTGGCTCGGTTGGCGTAGCGAAGAGTGGTGAGGGTTTCGTCGTAGTGTTGGGGGGCAGGACCTAAAGTGGCGACCATGACAGTTTTGGCATTACCGCCCAATGAGTCCTGCAAAAGGCGGGTCAGCTTTGAGTCCCGGTACGGCACGTGGCCGCTGCGCCCGTCGGCGAGTGCGGATATCACGTTCCCGAGCGCGGACAGAGAAAGGTTTATCTTCGCCGCTTCCTTCAGCCGTTCGCCCTGGACGCCCGTCTTGGCCTGTCGCTCGCTGCCGGCCAGATCCACCAGGTTAAGTCGTCCGACCCGGATGTGCTTCCTCCCGTCTGGACCGGGTTGGCCACACTCCACGGTGATCAGGAATAAGGCGTGGGACCTGGAGGAATACTCGTTCATGTGGGTGGCCGCGACCGCCCTGGCTTGGTTTCCCACGTTCATCACTTCCTCGATCTCCTTGATACTCTTGCACACACAGGAGGTGAGGTCTGGGACGTAGACTCCAGTTTCCGGACTCTCTCTAAGCTCCAGTCCCCGGGCGCTGGCGTGGCTGGGATCCAGAAGATCTCGGATCTCCTCACGATAGATTTCGAGGTAGGACGCCCGTACCAGGTATTGTTTGTCGGACTGCGAGCGTGAGATGTGCGTAAAGATGTGGTCAAAGGCATTGGGTATCACACCCCGTTTCTCCGTGTCCAACCACATCCCCTGCATGGTGTATGTCTTCCCTGTTCCGGTCTGTCCATAAGCAAATATGGTACCATTGAAACCGGCTAGCACAGAATCTATCAGAGGCCGAACACTCTCGTCGTACAGATCTCGTTGTTTGGAATTGCCGTCGTAAACTGCGTCAAATGTAAACGTTTTTTGCGGTTCGCTGTGAGACGCTCGAGGATTCCTGAGGATCACCTGTCCCAGTCGGAGGTCCATCTGCACGATCTCCCCGGAAGGACCGTTGGACTCCTCCTTTCGGTTCAGAGGTCGACATCGAACAACCACTTTAACCGACTCACTGCTCTTATTCTTTGACATGGCTGGCTTCTTGGTAGCACACAATGACAATAAATTTAAATACAAACCGGAAAAAAAAACCCTTTCTGACTACTAATTTTGAGTCACCATTGGTTTTCTTGCAGTTAATAAAACATTCAGCATGACTTCATGATCCTTTCTTCAATGAAAATAAATTAACATAGCCTTGGATTTAACAGTGCAAATGAGAACATGCCATCCTAATGTCTCAATTGCCCTGACTGTCTGTTAAATTAGCATAAATGGTATCAGCTCTCACGAGGTGGCTCGACGCTCCATTCCCGCTACGTGTCCACACATGTAGCCAGAAAAATCCTCCAGCGTCCAAGACAAAAAGGCGGATATTTCTCTCATATCTTCTTTTTGCACGCCCAGTGGATCCACATCCTTCTGCCCCCCCCCGCTCAATGATGCTGCGTTCGGCGCACGGGTGCGCGCCTCCGAGAGACAGATCCTCCTACCGACAACACACGCACTTATGCGCACGCACGCACATACGCACGCATAGACACAGGCCCACACGTGCACACGAGAACGCACGCACACACACAGTCACTCGAGCTCCACGCCCCACATCACTGCGGAGTAGAGCAAAGCATTAGGGGTAATGTAGTTAATCACACAGTGACACGATACGTGTCTTTATTCGTCTATTAAATAGTACACAAAGTACGACATTCGCTTAAACAAAATTACAGAATTGATTACACATGGTTTTATGAACAGTGAACGTAATTTTAATCATTCAAGGTACAGTAACTTAGTACAGTATGTGTATATAGTGTGCAATGGTGTCATGCCATTTTGTGTTCTGTTTTTGAATGTTTTACAGACGCAAATACCGGATTTTGAATAAGGCTTTTGAAATATTTGACAAAAAAAAGCCAATCATATTTTGAAGCGTTGCAGTTGATGATAATTGAGTGAAAGAAAGTCAAATCAGCCCGAAATCAGGTTATAACAACCGGTTCCTTTAAATGTTCTTTTCTAAATTCGACACAGAATGAGGATGTGCAAAATTAATAATTACTAACATTACTTAACTATGTTGCGGTTAACAACCCAGCCCAACAGTGACCTCTAGTGGGAGAATAGTAGAACAGGCTCTCACCTACAGCTACTCAATGTCATGCAAGGAGGTTAAAAACCCTCGTAAATTATGCACAGGTGAGTAAATAATGAAAATAATGAATGCATTAATGTCTTCATAACATTACATTAAAGCTCGGTCTCACCTTAAAAAAAAAATCAATGTTTGCATATTTGGTCAGGTACATGATCTCGCAGGTCAGTTTATCCACCATAACCCTTGTTTTCTTGCCACAGCAGCATTAACATTGGGTTCTTGGATGACTGTAGTCTCTTAACTTGTCAAGTCTGTACTTGGCGGTGGATGACATGCTCTGCATTCTTGGAGGAGTGTCTGAAGTGAAAGAGGGGAAAAGTTACACGAAGCCAATTCGTGGTGATGTTTTGTTTTTCCTCATAAATATAACGATGCTTTCAATATTAGTGCGTATAAAGTTAAAGCGGGTGAATGACATTTTCATTCCAAGAGATGGGGACGCGGGGAAACGCCGCCACGTAAAAGCAGAAGTACTTAATGATGACATCACTTTGCCTGACTCACAGCTGGGAGAGTCAGCGCATCAATTTCCAACTTGCCGTGAAAAGTCAATCACACACTGAGCACAGCGGAAACTAGCAGCCATTTTGGATCGCCTGACATGTTTTACTCAGTGAAGTTAAAGAGGGGCTGAGCCTAAATGTCCAAGCATCTGGCCCAGTGCCGTTTGCCCTTTCTGTCACTGTTACGACACGCCCTTCGAGTATGTTTGCAAAAACGACCAATAAAAGTTGGGCGTATTCTTGAATGACAGCAGTGCCAGCAAATCGAATTTATTTTACAGAAATGGGCGAGCAATTGTGCGTCTGTCAGTAGGGTGTCGCCGTGCTGACTCCTATTGCAGAGACGGCGGCGGTCGTCTGACTCTAAGTTCCTAATCTCTCCGGGAAAAAAAGCTCACCAACTTTGCAAAGTCAGTGAATTTGCCACACGTTCACCTTCGATTTCTATTTGGAGGTTTATCGGTTGAGCTTGTGGCCGGGCACTGGAATGACGGGGTGTGCCGAGAATTTGAATTAGCTCGCCGTTAGTATGAAGAAAGAGTGAGTCGGGGTAGAGAGGAGCCATTTTGTCCCGACTGTGTGGGAGAAAAGAAAGTGGAAAAGAGGAATCACGTCGGACGACCTCGCGTTGTCGCTACCTTTTCTCGCGCTTTCAAGGGGAAAGAGTCGGGCTTTTTGGAAGATCACTTCTCTGACGCGTTTTATTTTGTGGTGGTATTTAGCCAAGTAGCTTGCCAAAGCTAATCAACAAATCCCAGGTTGTAAACTGTCAAAATCGGGGCAGTTGGCCAGGTTGGCGCAGGAGCTGGCTGCAGACTTCACATAGGCGTGCTAGGAGATTGCTCTTTTTTGTGTGTATCAGAGCGGGTACATACTCAGAGTTTTCAATGGCTAAGAAGACGTACGACTTGCTATTCAAGCTGCTTCTCATCGGAGATTCAGGCGTGGGGAAGACCTGCGTGCTGTTCCGCTTCTCTGACGACGCCTTCAACACAACCTTTATCTCCACCATAGGTAAGCAAGTGAAACAAATGCAGGATTTGGTGTGCTTTTTGCTGAAGCCTGGCAATTTGGGGGGCGACGCTGTGGCTGTGTCCATTTGATTCACCACCGCGCTGTTAGCATGTTCCGGGCTGCCCAGGCCTGCCCTGGGAAGCTGGGAGACAAGTTGTGCAATTTTGCCAACTATTCAACGCAAGTAACCTCTGCTCGAGCTGACGGGAACGTTTTGAACGCACCACGAAACTTGTTTTGAATAAAACCTGACTGTTGTGCAACGTATAACTAGTGAAGCTGTCATTTGTGACATCGTAAGCTAGCTAAGCTAGTGGGGGCAACGGGGCCGTGCTACTTTCTCTCCGCACACCGCACGAGCGCTTTTCTTCTTTTTTACGTTCATGTAACCGTTAGCAACCTTACCATCTTGTTGCTTTGTCGGGTAATTGATAATTGTTAGAACACACACACACACACACACTTCCCAAAAAATGCATACTGTTTCCATAGAGCTGTCAGAATATTATATAAGCAGCAGTGACATATCGTAGCCAATGCTTTATTTATTGTCTGCACTGTATTAATTGATTAACGTTACTAGCATCACAAATGGACGGCCTCTGAATCCATTAAAACAGATGACATATATACAGCGCATATGGTACTCAAATATATACAGTAATCTATATTCCTCGCGATGTATCTGTGTTGTTTGAGTTTAGCCTCTGCTTAAAGGAAAGCCATGACCCCTTTTGTTTGTCATCAACAAATGTTATTACAGTGTTGATGCAACATCGTCTTTCGATCTTGAGCCTTGTTTATTGGGAAAGTGCTCAGTGTATTCATTTATAAATGTGTTAATACTATGTCAGGAATTTCAAACGGATGCAGCGCAAGTATTCACTGTCTTGCGCAGAGATACAGAGTACTGGGAGCTGTTGATACATAGGTTTAAAATTAACACACTGACAGGTAATGATGATCAAAAACCAAAACAAATGACTCATTTGGTGAATTAGCCACTGCAAAGGAAGAAGTGACAAGTCATCAGCGGGTAGCATTCAGTCACCTGACTGTACCGGAATATATATATATATATATATATATATATGTGTGTGTGTGTGTGTGTGTGCGTGTATGTGTATAGAACCCTGCATCTTTTACATAAATCCACACCGCTGGAGTGTAATGGCATTTTGCTTTTTACACAATGCGTGATGGCTGACTCACGTGAACTGATAGAGGGTTCATATTTCCATTCTGTAGAATGGTACATGATTGCCTGATTATGCTAAGGCCCTAGTGATGCATTAACACAAACTCGTGATGCATAGACACTAAAGTTTGTGTTTGGAAAAAAAAAAGGTGAATGTTAACATCTGCAATTATGGTACATATAGTAAGATATGCATATGTCAATGGGTCACTTGAATAGTACTTAAAACCTATACTTGGGGAAGAGGAGGAACTGGAGTGTCGTGTTTGATGGCATGACCCTCGCACGCTGGGACACCGAGATACAGCGGCACCTCTCAAAATACTCTAAATGGAAACCCCCCCTTCTCTTTCGTAACTCATCCTCATTTCCCGGACTCTCAATAGCTGTTGGGTTTGTTTAGTAGAGGTTATGTTGTGTTTTCCCCATTGGAAATAATGGAAATTGAGCTAATCTGGACTGTGGTCAAACAGTCACTACAATTAAACATTGTATTGACTGTACAGACAACGCAAAGAAGAGGTATAATCCAATTTAAAAGTAAGGGGCTGTCTGTTCATAGAGATAAAGCAGCAGACTCTGCGGTGTACATTCCTTTTTTTTTTTTTTTTTTAATCATTGATGTTGACCTGATCAATATTGTACTGTTTTAGCAAAACAGAGATGCGGGTACCGCTTAAAGCGCTACAATCCCACGTTTTCTCTCTTTGCCCTCACTGGCTCACTTCTGTGGTGGCTCATGATGGCATGCACAATGAGACTTGAAAGCTTTCTTTTCACTGTCTTAATTGGTCACGTTGTAAATTACACAACTGTTAGGATGGTTGCATTTTGAGGTCCAATAGATTAACGCAAAGGCTTTAATAGTGGATGAATACAAACACTGATTTTGCATGACACTGTGAGTCAATAGAAATTAATGTGTTCATCTCAAACTGAAAAATACTGAACAGAATTATAATTGTGGTAGAATATGCAGTTTTAAAAAATCCCAGGTTCTGGTGAAAAAGTCCCAACATTTATCTCATTTATCCAGTGATGGAATTAACACTGTCCTGTGGACTAGACATACTTTTCTGACACCATGCCGTTGCATATCATTAGCAACACAACCCTAGTATGTTTGTTTTAACTCTGTGTCAGCACATGACATCGTTTCTGAGTGTGTCCCTTTCCGAAACAAACTAAAACAGTTGTCGAGAACCGGCAATCCCTTTGCACTCCTCTCCCGTTCCAATATGTTTTGGGAACAATATGGATGCACTTTCTGTCCCCTCTCGAAAATATTTTGCCTTTTCCTCTACCCCAATTTTTTTAAAGCCAAGTATTCCCCTTCCGCCCTCTCTGGGTTGTGCATAATACTCAATGAGTCACTCTTTGGCATCCGCTTCCTTCATTATGCTGTGGCCCCGCCCCTCGAAGAGCACAGCTGTTTCTTGAACTTGTAAACCGAGCACAATCTTTTTGCTTTAGCTGAAGTGACAGCTCGATTATTTGGACAGGAAAACAACACTTGTGGGCCAAAAGTCATCAGTGGGCCCTCCCGTGGCTTCGTGACCCCTCCGGCGGAATAACAATCATCCAAAATTGAATTCCTTGGCTAAATATTGCGGTCATACTAATACGATGATTATGTCCACATGTCAAGGTTTTTTCTCTGCCTTCTCCCGTGGTCAGCTGCCCTTCAATCGTATCCGTTTGTCTCGGTGTGTTCGTACGCCTTAAGAATCCTTTGCGCCTGCAAGTTCTTAGTGTCTGTGTTGCCTGTAATAACAGTGCACGCATGTTTCTTTTTGCAGGAATAGACTTCAAGATCAAAACTGTAGAACTACAAGGAAAGAAGATCAAACTACAGATCTGGTGAGTCACTTATTTGGCAAGGTGTCTTCCACTTTTATGTGCCTATCCTGGTGTATGGATACAGCGTCCAGCGGCAGATCAGGCAGCTTGACGAGGCAAAACTCACAATCATGACGTCATCTATTAAATTAGCCGTCACCGTACGGATTTGGTCATCGATGTAGTTGTGATGAGTCGACGAATCTTGGCAGCCCGGCTCGTATCTCAAGGCGCCAGTCTAACTGATACGCCTTCCTCAATGAAAGCATCTCACGCATATTTAGGTTAGGCTGCTTCACGAGACACTTGAGGTTAGGAAGTGAAAAGCAGAACTGTTGAACATTTTTCTCCATTTACTCTGCTTTTGACCTTTAACATTCCACTTTAGAACGTTGTTTCAGTTCCCCACATTGCCCCGCTAAAGACACTGAATTGATGTATCATCACATTCATATCTTTTGATCCCCTGCCCTAGGTTGAACAATATGTACTATGCTCCGTGTCTCGATATTCATGCTAACTACTTCAAATATGATCCGACTATAGCTTTTATCATCTTTTAGATTGTTCAAGTTGCTCGTTTGTAATACCAAAACTTGGAACCTTATGATGCTTGCCTTTGCTTTACTTAGCTTTTATCTACTGAAAGCCTGCTACGTTCTCTGTGCCAGCAGTGATAGATGAATGTTGACAGAGTTTCCATCTCCCAGGGGAGCTAGTGTGTGTGTGTGTGTGTGTGTGTGTGTGTGTGTGTGTGTGTGTGTGTGTGTGTGTGTGTGTGTGTGTGTGTGTGCGCGCGCGCGCGCGCGAGTTTCAACGTGATTCGCCAGATTAACACAGTGAGGTGAAGGCATTATTGGAATGTGAAGCACCATTTTATAATTGGTTCTTTTTTTTCTCATTCTTGTCAAGAGTGTTCTTGCGGGGCAGATAATTAATATGACTGTTATCCGCCTCTGGTGTCGAGAGTGATCACACACAGTACACTAAAACGCGATAGGGCATCTTTGTATCTTCGGAGCGCGTTATGTGGGTGTGTAACTCGCATGAACAACAGAGCTCCATTTTGACTTTTTATGGAGTAAGACCTCCAAGACAATAGGCGGTTGAATCTTCCAGAAATATCGCGCCTTGTGCCAATGCTACCGCGTTTTGGATATTGAGCTGCTTTGTCTTTGCGAGGAGGAAATGTTTGTACTCGCCACACCTTGTAATTGATTCACTTCACACCCTCATTGAGACGTTGACGTTTTTTTTCATCCACATATTTTTATGAAACTCTTCGTCGCTGATCCTTAAATTAACTTCTGAATAATTGTCTTTAACGTCTTCAAACCTGTGGCACTGGCCTGAGGTCTATGAAAAGTTTCGCCACACTTACGGTTCAAGACATGAAATGTTTATTATGTTAGCTTTTGCGTTGCTCTCATACGTCCCCGGTTTACTGAAATGCTTGCCAAGCAAGTCAGGGGTGATAGCGACAAAACCCATTTCCACCAGAGGAGACGTCTGCTTGCTCAATTGTTTATTTCTTTCTTTTTGCGCCTTTCCACAACTTATTTTGACAGTTTTGCTTTGTGGTCTGCCGCGTCATTTTTCCAATGGAAAATGGGTGCCTCGGCGCTAACCCTTGTCTGGAAATCTGTTCTTTGTATGTGTGGTTGCGCAGGGACACAGCGGGCCAGGAACGGTTCCACACCATTACCACCTCCTACTACAGAGGAGCCATGGGCATCATGCTGGTCTATGACATCACCAACGCCAAGAGCTTCGAGAACATCAGCAAATGGCTGCGCAACATTGATGAGGTGAGACTCGGACACGGACACGGACACGGACACACACACACACACACACACACACACACACACACACACACACACACACACACACACACACGTGCACAATTAAGTCTCACTCTGTACAGTGCTCCACAAAATATTTTTAGACACCAGCCGTAGAGGTGTGCATCTCCTGAATTCCCATGCCTATACCATAACAAATTCATGTTTCCGTTCCAAGTCCACATTCCTTATCAATCGATATAGAATAAAATGTGTTTACGGCATATACCGTCCCTTCGTCTTGATGGCGGGCGACTGTGTGTCATTGGCTTTTTTCGTCGATGTGGAACCTTCTTTGCATTAGATGGGCTCTGCTTTGCGATGTCGCCACATCATGCCACTGCAATTCCTACATTTTGAATCACTACAAAAACAGTGGTCGGGACTCGTCACTGGTGAAATATGACGGCAGAACACCCCCAGGCTGCGGGTGTGCACTGTGCAGTGCAGGCTTGCCCGGTTCAGTTGATCCCGCCCCCATTGCACCTATTGGCACGGAAAACCAAAGGAGACGGTGCCGTGTAGTGCCGGGCCAAACAGCGTGCTGTGTTATTTGGGTCGAATGGGAAAGTGGCATTAGAGAAAGGGAGAAAATGGTTTATTGTGTGTTGTCACATCTGGCTTCTAATATTTAGTTTCCGTATCCAAATAACTGAAATTCAAATAGCTTATCATTAATTTTTATTTTATTTTTTTGCAGCATGCAAATGAGGATGTTGAGAGAATGCTACTAGGCAACAAGTGCGACATGGAGGACAAGAGGGTTGTACCAAAAGCCAAGGGAGAGCAGGTAAGATCATGGTTCAATCGCATGTAAAAATCATGGGCTTCAATAAACATACAAAAATAAAAAACACCCCAAAAAAATCATCTGACTTCTAGGATTTGTTCCCATTTATTGCAGAGGGTATGCCCCAGGCCCACCTGCAGTATTTTATTTACCCAAGGTTATTACAGTTAACGGAAACCAATAAAATAACGAAAACGAAAATTGAATCAGCATTTTTGTTCATAAATTCAACACAAACTGGCCTGACTGAAGACACAAGTAGACGTGGTCAGAAGCTAACTCATGTACAAATGCGTCGTGTCCGAAAATAATACGGTGACCATGTTAGTGATGATACAATCACTGCATACGACTCTGAACAGCATGTTAGCACAGATGCCAGGACTGAGGTACCACAACAGATTTGTGGTTGCCCTGGCAACGAGACACATTTTGTTTTCGTGGAAACATTGTGTGTGGGTACATCTGCCTAATCGTTCTGAAGTTGATAATAAAATGAACCAATAGAAGTAAACTTGAGCCATTATGCACGAATGGCTGTCTTAGCTGGAATTAGCATCGCGATCTTTACTTTTGGGAATCGGTGCTACCTGATCTCTGCCCCACACTGGAGATTGACCCAGCCATTTTATTTTTGGACAAGCACGCTTTTGAAGGTCAGCGGTCCTTACTCGCTCTTCTTGTCCTCAACCCAGATTGCGAGGGAGCACGGCATCAGGTTTTTTGAAACCAGCGCCAAGGCCAACATCAACATTGAGAAGGCCTTCCTCACGTTAGCAGAAGACATCCTCAGAAAGGTGCGTATTTTGTCCGCCCTGGGCTACTTTGATTTGAAGACATTGGCTCGCGACATTGCGACAGTCACAAGAATGTAACCAGGAAGTAGGTTTGATGTGCGGACCAGCGAGTGATAAGCGAATAAATTGGCTGCAATGGACCAAAAGTGGCTTTTGTTGCTCACTCGAGTCACGGACTCTGTCTTCCAGACGCCTGTAAAGGAGCCTAACAGTGAAAATGTGGACATCAGCAGCGGGAGCGGAGTGACGGGCTGGAAGAGCAAGTGCTGCAGTTGAACGACTCATACCGACACACGCACACACACGTACACGCACGTGCACGCACGACAATTCTCTCTCTTTCTCTAACATCTTAACTCTTTTACCCTCTAACCCCTCTCATGACTTTTCTTGCACACTTGACACTCTTATCAGAATAAAACAATAAACCACTTCATTCATCTAACCCAGGGGTCCCCAACCTTTTTTGAACCACGGACCGGTTTATGTCAGACAATATTTTCAGGGACCGGCATTTAAGGTGTGGCGGAAATAATACAACAAAATAATATGGTATGAGCTGCATGAAAATTGTGGTGTTTTCGAAATATAATAACAAACACAATGAGCGTCTAATCTGGCCGCAACACTCTGATCACTATGATAATGTTTAATGACTTCAAAATACGATACAACGCAAATTCAAAGTGCATGAAAATGACGACTCACCACATCCCCGAGCTTGATTTTCTGCAACCAGACGGTCCCATCTCGGGGTAATAGGAGACAATGACACCAAGTGTGTGGTTTATGTCCAGTCTACTTCGTAATTTTGTTTAAGTCGCCATTGTTGCAGAAAACCCCCGCCTCACATAGGTAGGATGTCAGAAATAGCAACAGTGCTATTGTGGCGATCTCAAGAGTATTCAGCCATAACTTTAAGCCAGTTGTCTCAAACGTACTTTTAAGGCCGCTGTCATTTGCGATCTCCAGCAGTTTTTTTACTCATTTTACCTGCATTTTGTTTCTGGCGTAATCGGTCATGTGATGGAGAAGCGTGGCTTGACGTGTGTCAAGCGTGACACGGACGGATGTAACGGAGAATCCGGTAATTTTTCAAAATAAAACATCTTTCGTATTCCGAAATAAATAAAACAGAATTAAGGCAAGTTCTTTCTGTGCGGCCTGGTACCAAATGCCCTGCGGACCGGTACTGGTCCGGTCCGCGGACCGGTGGTTGGGGACCCCTGATCTAACCCACCCACCACTTTTTTCCACTCTCCACCTGATGAGCTCCACTGATGTTTCTTGTCATTTTGTTTTAAAGATTAGGCCAAACAAAAAAGAGTGTTTCCGGTAACATGAAATTTCAGCATAGGGTCGGTAGGTCGGACAAAGATTTTTTTTTTCCCATCAAAAATTTAAACAAAATAACCATAAAACAAGAAGACATTGAACCCGCCGCTGCCACCTATAGTCCGGACTTGGGGGGGCCGGGGCGCGCCGCCGCCTCCGCCGCCCTCGGTTTTTAATTGGCCCGTGGTGTTCATCAAATAGTTTGCTGAATTTTTTCGATACATCAATGGATGCTATTTTCTTAACATTACGGTGCGAGCATGCGACTGTAACACAGAAAACGCGGTTTAAACTGTCGTCGGAGATCGCGGCCGCCGCCATGTTTCAATGTTGTTGACAGACGACAGGGCAAACAACGCACGCGCTCAACGTGAATATCGCGAGTGTTTGCACGGATGTAAACCCTCTACACAAAAATATAGAGGGTTGTTTGAAAAAAAATGCCGACCGTAAAGTTTTTTTTCGATGTAGAAATTCTCGGTCGGGTTACCGGAAACACTACTTTTTTTTCTACGCCTTAAAAAAAAAAAAAAAAAAAAGACAAGCTCATATTTGTAAAATTTCCTTTTGATTGAGCTCGGCCCCTATCAACCCCCACCCCCAAATACCTTTTCCCCCCCACAGCGACCTTGATGTCCCCTCAACCTCTTTGGACACTCATCTCCCCAGAAGTGTTTGCTCAATTACAATTTGTTACCAAGTGACAGAGGTGTGGCGAGCTCCTTTTGTAATGCGGGGTTTCTTTTGTCCTGTGCCTTATATGGAAGACAGGGGCGGGGCTGTGTCATGGGCGGAGCCACATCCACCCAATGAAATTACTTTACTAAATCGTTTTTTTCAGTTTGCGCTTCCCAGCCGGGTCAAGCTGATGCAGAAGCGTTTGAATTCTCCTTCAGCCAAGAGAACGGCATTATATGTCCTCTTTATCAATGTCTCATTTTTACCTTCATGATTTATTTGACTGTTTTGTTTTTTTTTTTTGTTGTTGTTGGTGGTTTTCTCTTCCCAATTTGGGTTACTCTGTTTTTTTTTTTCCTGCATGCAGATTTCTTTGGGTTGGAAACGTTTCTGTAACATTATGTAAGGTATGCCACTGGGTAACTTTGGGCGGGAAGTTCACAAGTTCTCTTTGGAAATTCAAACAGTTTTGCAGATCCATTAAAAATAAGCTTGTTTAAGTTAACTTGTTTGTCTTTAATAGCATGTTTTGTGTAGTTTCATGCCTCAAGAAAAGAGATTAATCACACCTTGAAAAATTCGAATGAAAGATTCATAATTTAAAGAAACATTTCAGATCATTTCAACATAGTTCCTCGACACCAAGATTGCGGAAAAGTAATGGTTTCTAGGCCTCGGCGCAAAAATGCCAATTTCTATTAAGCTATGGCTATGGCCTGTCGAACAAAGCACCTCTTCTCATTTCAATTTTGTTCCTAGTCACCAAAATGCCACAAGATGGTGTCAAAGCACTACTTTTCTATCAGGCAGGATATTGGCATAATCTTGTAGAATCTTGGTCGTTTCAGTAGTACAAGTTGCAAACAAAGCTTTTTCGTCAAATACGGTACTACATTGGCGCAAGCTACCACAAACACTGCCTGTACACTGACATACTGTACATCAGGGGTGGGCAATTAATTTTCCCTGGGGGCCAAATGAGGAGCAGAAAACATTGTGGAGGGCTGGGCCAAAAGTTGGAAATCTACTCTGGTAATTGATTTCATTCCTACGTTGAAATACGTACATGATATGATATTGTTGACAGAAGCTGATGAGTATATGTTATTGTTAGATCATGAGAGTGCTGTTTTACCCCCAAAAAATTAAAAAATAAAAATATTCGGTGAAATTACGCAAAACAATTGCACAAAATTAATAAGTCTTTGACAGTAACATGCACACTACCACACTTTCTGATTATAACTTTCCATAAAACCACAATGTCTTTGTATGCCAGCAATAATGTAACATAACTCACAACATTTTATTGTCCCAACTGCCAAACAATGCAGAAAAAAAATCCAAGCAAGCATGTTTCAGTGTTTTGTTTTTTTCTTGTTCAGTGAGATAAATCTAGCCTCTGTTGAGCTTCTTCTACTCAAGTGCATCGAAGCAGGTTGAAGGTGGAGATGTGAATTACACATGACAGATGATCATCAGTAAGAGAGGGTCTGTACCTGGAGTTGATCCGGATGTTGTTGCTCCGGACATATTAGCGCCGTGGGGTCCACCAAGCACTCTTGAACGAATTCCCCTCCGAGAATGGTTTAGTGTTCTGAGCGATGCTGTGGACTATCCAAAGCTGGTCCTGGTTGCTCCTTCCCGGCCTCCGTGTAGCTTGGTAAAATAGCCTTGTTGTGTTTGGAGCTTCGCTAGCAAATGATCGAAAGCTGCGTTCTCCCAGCCTCAGTCAAATGTATGGATTTTTCCGCTTGCTTCGTCTCGTCAGGCCGACTCACGTTATCGTCTTCAAGACGGCGACCAGCTCACCACAAACTAAACACACGGGTTTACGCCTGACTTCAGTAAATATTGAACAGTCCGTATTTTATGAAAACTACGGCCTTCCGCGTCTATCTTTGAGTTTTTTTGGGGGGGCATGGGCGAGCATTTTGGAGGGTCACCATTACCGTGACTTGCTGCTAATCACGGCGATTCTGCCAGAGCACCTGTGCGTAAACGACGCCAGCACGCCGTCAACAAGCTTCAAAGTAAAAGTAATGCTGCTTTAGTCCACGCACGTTGCACACATTTGAAAGCAGGCTTTATTTTCTTAATTCCAAAACACTTTTCACAGTCCCATAAGAGCCGAGCCGCGACCCAACACGCATTATCAAAAAGTTGGGAAGTACTGTAGCTTTTATTTTCTTAATTCCAAGCAGCTCTTCGTGGGCCAGAAAGAGCCCGCGTGCCGTAAAATGCACGGCACTGCCGTACAGGTAGTGTGTGAAATTAACTCATTAGTCTACAGTAAATTGTTATTCCTATTAGAACAACTTGGAAAGGACTGTGTAAATTTATGTGTCTGGAAATGTCGGTTTTTGACATACAGTACCACTAAATCCAAGGCGGTCTGTTTGTATGTGTGAAACATTTCATTCTTGACATTCTTTATTGATCACCTGCTTCCCCAACACAAAACCTCTCGAGCAACAGTGCACACACACAATACAATTGTCATTCTTGTGTGGTAACATGCCAGTGCAGAAGGCCAAGGGGACACCATTAAGTCTAAAAACTACATTCAGAATTCCTTGCTAAGCACAGAATGTACAGAGGGAGGTTATGGAATCATCAATCCACTTGACTCAGTAAACTGCTATGTTTCTTTGACAAGATTTGAAAAAAAATAAGTGTTTAAGTGTCTAAAGACTAAACGTTTGTATTTAGTGGTTTGGAGGAGATGAGCATAAAAGGAAGAACTATCAACACTAATGAGTAAAAGGCAGCAGCAGTGGACATTGAAGAGGGCCTGCCCTTAGGGAGAGAAAAAAAATCAGTGACAGAGTAAAGAAATATTTACATAATCTGTGTACAACTTCATTTATAAATATGGGTATAAATTAGAAAAATAACAAAAAGCTACTGAAGTTCAATCAATGGTCAACTTCTACATACACATTTAATACCAGTCTGATAATTAACTGTGTATTTGGTGGGGGTGGGGGCACCGCAATGAATAAATGGAGCAATCGATACTTTAATTATGTACCAGTCACGTCGTGAAGGTCCCTGTTGCAACAGTCAAAATATAAGTTAATAAAGATTCAATTAAAGTCCCCATACTAAATGTGAACATCGTCAGTTGTGAGTTCTTCAATAAATTAAGCACTTGAGGAGCCAATGAAAAAAATAGATTGAGGGCAGTTGATGCCAAATTAGGTCGTATGGGTGTACAGCAAGCAGCTGATGACTGACTTATCTGGCTGACAGGCACGATTCCACTTGGAAAAGCTTTCGCTCATCTTCCAATTTGACGTGAGCAGTTCCTATTTCACGTACACACAGTCCTACCACAGCACATGCCAAACACCAAGTGTCACTATGAGGTCCGGGAACGCTACACATAGACAAGATCTCGGCCCTGGGCCGGCGGGCCATCGGGCGCCTCCCCCTCGGGGCCCTCGGAGTCCGCCTCGTCCTCGGTGAGGCCCTCGTACGCGATGGGCTTGGGGCAGCTGTACGGGTGGCCGTTGTCGTCGAAAAAGCGGCGGAAGGTGAACTCGTAAAAGGCGTGCTCGGGATGCTTGCCGTTGCGGAACCAGCAGCCCGTGTCGCCGAGGTCGTCCTTGCCGTCGCTGTCGCCGCTCCACCGCTTCTCGGGGTCTACGGGGTCGAAGTTGGATGTGTCGGTGGAGTGGGCGATGGTGGGGACGTACGGCGCCGTCTGCTGCCGCAAGTCGCTGGAGAAGTCGATGGTCTTGAAGAAAGGGTGAGCTTTGATTTCGTCTGCGCCGTTCCTGCCGAGGCGGTCCTCGGGGCCGCGGCACAGCTTCACGATGAGGTCCGACGCCTCCGGGCTGAGCTTGGCGGGCGGGGGGATGTGCAGGGTGGTCTTCCAGTTAATCACCTGCGCGGACATGATGACATGCTGGACCACCGGGGGCATCTCGTTCTGTCGGTCACAAAAATGTATCCTGTCCACTTATGCTCCACATACCTTGAGCTGTGTCTCCAGGGGCGTGGTCGCTAAGAAGGGAGGCTGTCCGACTACCATTTCGTACAAAATGACACCCACGCTCCACCAATCGCACAGCTGGGTGTATCCTACGTAGAACAGTGCAAACATTTGACAATCAGACTGCAATAGAAAATGAACTGAAGAAAACACAACAGTGAAACTTGTAATTTCGGCATGCCAAGCAAAGTCAGGCCCACCCACAACGGAGCAGTCACCTGTCCTGAGTAGAACTTCGGGCGCAATGTAATTGGGCGTCCCCACCAGCGAGTGGGCCAAGCAGCGCTGGTGTTGCCGAGCCTTTCTCCTCTCCAGAGGCTTGAGCCGGTCCGTGCAGCGGCAGTTGGCCGGGTCCTCCCATTCCTTACTGAAGTCCATGCTGTCCTGCCTCACGTGGTCCCCTGCAAACCAAACACAAGCATGACCCAAGTCCACGCAATGAAATGCACACAAAATGTTGTGCTGTGCCACGACGCCAAGCTTTCTGCGTTACATTCTTCCCACCGATAATGTGGCCTTCCGCCTGAGCGACTCAAGTGAGAACGAAATCTTTTAAGGAGGGCAAGTAAAGATGTTTTGAGATCATGTTCTCTCCACCGGAGACGTGGCTGTGCTCAGAATCGATCCAATCAAAATGGGAGTCAGTGCACCCAAAAGGGGAAACGTGCACTGACATTGTAGGTGTGGTTTGCTCACGGACATTCTTTTCGTCAACACCCTCACAATCGCAGCACTAGATTGACACAGCACTTCTATTTTAGATGAAGAGTTACACTCACCACTCTGGTAATACTTGGAGTCATGAGTCCAGCGGAATCCGGTGCAGAGGCCAAAGTCTGTGAGCTTAATGTGTCCGTCTCGGTCAATGAGGATGTTGTCGGGCTTGATGTCGCGGTGGATGAAGCCCATTTTGTGGACGCTTTCCACAGCGCAGGTGAGCTCGGCGATGTAGAACTGAGCCAGCTCCTCCTTGAAGATGCCGAGCCGGATGAGAAGACTCATCATGTCCCCCCCGGGGATGTACTCCATGACAAAGTAGAGGTTGTCCCGATCCTGGAAAGAATAGTAGAGACGCACCACCCACTCGTTGTCGGCCTCGGCCAGGATGTCCCTCTCGGCCTTGACGTGAGCCACCTGGTTCCTGAGCAGCACGTCCTTCTTGCGCAAGGTCTTCATGGCGTACAGGGCTTCCGTGTCCTCTTTCATGGCCAAGCATACTTCGCCGAAGGCGCCGATGCCCAGGGTCTTGATTCGTTTGAACATGCACTTGTCCATCTTGGCCCGCTTTAGCCGAATGTAGTTGGACTCCTTCTGGCAGAGCATCATGCGCATCTGCTCCTGGGCATCTGACGACAAGCCCACCTAAACAGCCAACGGTCACGGGTCAGCAAGCAGCCACAGTAAGCACACAGGAACTTACATGCAGACCTGGTTAGAAATGTCCCCTCCACCCCCCAAAATAAGCCAACAAAACACACTCAGCAATACAGTGTTCCCTCGCCAAATTGTAGTTCATCATTGGCAATGGACTTGAGACAGATCAGCCAGCGAGTGGGAGTGAGATGCTGCGAAATACTTTTAAAAGAGTTGAAATGTTTTCAAAGTGTGTGGGAGAAGCTTTGGATTTTCACCTCTTGCGGATGGGTCTGCAACATATCCCCGCGTTTAACGGGGGTTCACTGTATTTCAATTCAAAAATGCAATGTCATGAGGAGTAAAAAAAAAAACGGAAGACACGAAAGGGCATGCCAAACAATCATGCCTCTGTGAGAGCGGTGGGTGTTCGTGTCCATCACAATCAGATACTTTTACCTCTCAGCTCAGCTGTTCGTGACAGCAAGGAGAGAAAGGGAGAGAAAGAAGAGCCGAGAAAAACAGAGCAGCGTGAAAAAGACCATACAGGAAGCAAAAAAGTAGTCAAAGACTGCAAAGTGTTGAATTGCATCAGGAAAGATGACTCATTTTAAGCGAACTGGTTGTGTCTCGGGGTTCGATGTCTCACCCTCTGCATCTCGCTCTCCAGCTGTTTCCTCCTGCGGATACGCTGTTGATGGTTCTTCAGGATGTTCTCCACATGTTGCTCCATGAAGAACTTAAAGGCCTGCGGGGAGTACAAAGCCACCCGGCCCGACTCCCCCCTCCGTTCTTCGTCCTTCTTGTTGCGGCGCAGGGGAACGGGCGACGTCGTGATCTGCTTCTTCTCCTTTTCCGTGGCCGCGTTGCTTTCCGCACTTTCTGCTGCCTTCTCTCGCGTGCCGCTGTCCCCCAAAGCGCTTTCGTCTTCCGCGGGTTCCTCCCTGCTTGCGCCGTGCTTACCTGCTCCTTGCTCATACGCCGGGGGTGACGGTGCAGCTTGTTGTTGGAGGAGGTGCTTGGGGTAAGGCGGCGGGGGGCCCTGGTAGCTGGGGACCTCTGCCGCGACGGGAATCTGAGGAACGGCAGCCGAAGGCTCCGGGTAAGCGGGGGCGGCGGGAGCGGCCTGTTGCATCCACGGAGGGTGCGTGGGGGCGACGGCGGTGTGCAGTTCGGGTTTCTGGACTCGCATGCTTTTAACGGGCTGCAGGATGGGAGCTTGCGTGATGGCGGTGACCGTGGTGGCAGACGGTTGCGAGCTGGCGGGATGGGGTGCTCTGCTGTTGAAGGAATTGGAGCGCACGAGCACGTTATGCTGCCACGATGGAGACGGATCTTGGTTGCTGCTACTGCCTGATGAAGACGTGGGCATGTTGGGGGCGAGGGAGCTTTGGGACCAAGAATGGGGGTGCCCTATGTTGTACACATCAAGGTTGTGGCTGTTCCGATTGGGAACCATCATGGATTGAGGGATGTTCCCGCCATTAGCGTACGACGGTGATGAAGCGGGCCCCCCGGCCTGCATCTGCTGGTCTGTGGGACTGTGACGACTGCTCTGGTTGAGCGGGTAGGGGGGAGGAGGCTGCCTGCTGCCTCCTGCCATGTAGTCTGCCTGAGGTGAGCCATTCTGAGACCAGCCTGACGGGAAGGTGAACTTTGTTCCTGCCGAGCTTTGCATGATGATGGGCTGGTGGCCCACAGGCACTGGGCTGATGCCACGCTGGTTCTGAGGTGATGCGGTCGGATAGCTGTCAGCCCAGGCCCCCTGAGGCACCGGCGAGATGCGAGGCACAAGATCCATGTTTCCAGAGTAGCGCTTGGTCGACGGGTTGCTGTCCCAGGAAGACGCCGGAGGCATCGGCCCGCGGTTCGGAGGAGGTGTGACGCTGCGCACTTGGGGTGGCAGGGGCGGATTGACCCTCTGGCTGTTGCCAGGGTGACACTGCGGGAAGGCAGGAGGGGGCCCCGGACTGTCTGAGCGGTACATCATGGCATGGCGAGGAGCCAGGGACTCTTTCGAGCCTTTCCAGCTGGGCCTTCTCAGGAGGGACTGCTGAATGTGAGTAGCGCCTGCAGACAACGCATGAGCTGAAAACTAAATACATTGAAGGAGAACAGAATACACTGATGCTGTGACACCGATAATTTTTTTTTCCACTTCAATAAAGGCTAGCTCGGAATGGCGGGTCAGAGGAGTAGGTAAAATGCAAACAATGTGAACTAAGAATTACATTTCTACACATTCTTAACATAACACATTTTTGAAATGGCAGGGAAGGGTGGGGTACTGCTCGTCTCAATTGGCCGTTCACCTACCTGGGGCTTTGAGGAATGCAGTGCTTGGACTGGCGGGAACCATCTGTTCCCTCATCGAGTCCTGGTAGGTCACCTTCGTCATGTATTCCACAGCTGTCCCCACACTGCGAGCAGTAGTCTGCACAAGTATATGACAAGATGAATATGTATGTACAGTGCAGTTAAAAAAAAAAAAAAAATTGCCATCTTCTCAAATTCCTATTATTTATTTATGATCAAAAATCTAATGTAAATATCAACAACTAATACAATTGAACTGATGAAACTAAAAGCAAAATACTTGGTGGCATCAAGACATAAACTGTGAATTTTCTCAAACTATTAAACTTTTTCTTTCATCAAATTCATCTCATACTTGGCATTTCACTTGGCATTATGGACATTTTTCAGATAGCTATTCCAGAAACAAGATGCACCTCGTGATTATGAATCGCTGAGTTATGTGCAGAATGTGACAATCTTTTTTTATTGACTGAATACAAACACGTTGCTCATACCTCCTCAAACCCAGCAAATGGAGGCTCCATCGACATGTGTTTGTTGAGCTCCACTGAAGTGCTGGCCTCATTGGCAAAAGGCATCAGGGACTCGCGGATCTCCTGCAAGGCCTTATGGTGAGGGTTCTTGGGGTTATAGCAGCGCCCCTGTTGCCTTAAGTCCTCTGGGAGCATTTTCCCACTAAAGTCCACTTTGGGTGGGTCGGAAGGCTTTGACAGGTTTCGCAGACTGTTCCGGATTTCCTTCAGCATATGTTGGCTGTTGCCACTGTAGTTGCTGGCGGGGAACGTTTTGGGTCGCATCTGCCTGTAGCCCTCTGGTTTCTCTCCTCTCTTCATGTAAGAGCATGTACAAACACGATGAGGGGGGTGAAGAGGATGTGACACAGGTCAAGGACGCAGCCAAGGTTCTTGGAGGCAGGGGGTCTTTTTAAAGACCAATTTCACGTTTGGATTTTGCTGACATGGGTGCACTGTCCGTCATGAGGCATTCAGAGCATCTGTCAAGTGGTCCAATAGGTTGGACAAAGGGGATGAAGAGAAGACATAAACATCGTGAATGAGATGGGCAATAACGTTCGATCAATGTGTCAATGAAATGCTGTTTCAGTCGAAAAGTTGGCACGATGTCTATCACGAAACAAGACCCGTGTTGGCGTCATTGGTAATTCAAGTTAAGTGCCACTACGCGCATGAGCTGGCATTAAAAGCGTATGAACCAACTGAAGAATACACGCGGCGAGCCCTCCGTCGAACACATCGTACAACAACATCTGTAAAACTACTTAGTTAAGCGGACAAACAAGTACCCCTAGCATCGCGGCCTATGTGTGTGTTGATGCTAAGCTAACGCAGCAACAACGGCTTGAGGAATACTTAGCATGTTAGCTCCCAACAGCACCAATTGCCGCGTTTGACAACTCACCAGTGTAAGTACATAAGTGCGCTTTTCCCAACTCGCGTTTAATTGTTGCCCGCTTACGATCCTGTAACGCTAACGAGTAATACGATTTGAACAAAATGTCCTTATTGTGGCGAACCTAGCTGATATCTTGTGGTGTTGAATTCCTGGGATAGCTGAATGACAAGTAGGGAGAACAAGTTAGACAAAAAATCACAGAACACTTCCAGTTATCGTTGAATTAAAAGAAATGAAGGCAAATGAAAACGGAGCAACTAGTTCAGAATGTGACACAACCAATGTTTCTTCTTATAGTCCGTAAAAATTATTCAGTTTTTTAAAATGAAGCAACTCAATTTCAGCTCACGTACTCAGTCCATTCGTTGCAAACTTTTTTATTTTGTAAGTCTTGGCCGGAAGTAATTGGCAAGAATTTCACACAGTCCTTCCAAATACCCGGATGCAGGTTGTTTTCGCATATTTTGGCACTTTTCATAGTTACACCGTTAGGACTAACCAGAGGTGGCAAAAGTAATCACACTTTGAACGTAAGAAGTACTGATACCTGGGTCAAAAATATTTGGTAAAAGTAGAAGTACTGATTCAAATCCTAAGCAAACAAAAAAAGTAGACTGAAATGATGCCCATTGGACTGATCTCCAGCCAATTACAAGCAAAAAAAATCATCACACAAAGCTTATTTATTAATTTATTTCCAAAATTATTAAATTGACATTTATACAAAAAAAGATGTAAAATATTTGGCTGGGATTGATACACACAAAGACTTGATCAATTACGGACATTAATATGCATTGCAAATGAACTCAGTATGTATGACTGGAACTGAGCCTGCAAAAAAAAAAAAAACATTTGCAAAGCGTTCAAACTGGGATCTGTCTGTTAACAAATATAGCCTCTCCATCAGTACCGCACACGAGACACTGTCCAAGTACATCCAAACTGTTTACGGACAGCGTTTGGCTGGGCAGCATGTGAGTTGTCTCCAGACGACCTTTACTTGAGTCTCCGCTGAGCCACGCGTTGATGAGGGACTGGTTGCCTCCAGCGGGAGCCATCGCACTGCGGGACACCATGCTGTTGTTTCTACCACCTGGCAAAACCAATTAAAAACACCACTCAGTATAGACTAAAAACCTCGGTTTGATCATCCTCTTTTTGTTTTCTAAACTTAATTATGTGGCAGCATGAGTCGAGCTGGCGTGACAGAAGTTTTACGGCCAAGGAAGAATAAAACAGACTGTCTTCAATGTTTATCAGACTTGCCTTGCAGGAAGGACGGCATGTCTGAAGGTGAAGATATCTCCCAGTGCAGCAGTGATCCGTCCTCTGAGCATGTGAACAGATGATCTGGATTCATTGGGTGGAAGTGAACTTCCCACACTGCAGAAACACAGTAACATCATGTATAAATTTGAAAGTGTCTGCAACAAGTCAAAAAAAAAAAAAAAACTATTTCATCGTGAAAATGCTACTTTCAGCAGAGTGCGCCTCCATGAGTGAGAAAGGTGTGTTTCTTTGCCTCACATCCCAAACACAGAGCATCCCATCCTGGCCTCCCGTGGCCACGATGTGCTGCTGGTTTGGATGTCGGTCCACACAGTGCAGGGGGGCACGATCACCTGAGCTGAAATGACAACGTTGGATTAGTTTCCGTCATTGGAGGATAAAGTGATGCAGCTTTTGTGACTTGTGAGATCTTACAGAGAAAGAATCTGCGATGGGGAGTTGCTCTGTTGCCTGAAATCCCAAATCTTGAGTTGGCCGATGGAATTCACCGTCAGGATCTCAGTTGTTCTCAGGTAAGTCACAGCATGGATTGTACTGCTATCTGCATTCTCTGTAAAATGTTTTTTTTTTTTTGCATGAGCTCTATCCCAATCTAAAACTTGAACCGATGCATGCAGAGCAGAAACCGTATTCTAGAGCTAACCTATGGTTCGAATGATTCCTCCCTGGTCAGCTCTGTAGACAATAATCCTGCCGTCTTCACCAACGCTAACAATCTCAGGGCTGCTGCACACCACACTAGTACACGGGGCATTGTCACAAGGGTAATGATGCGCTTTTGCCCACTGATGTGAGACGGAGAGTGCCTGGAGTCAACCAAAAAAAAACAAATCACCCTTTGCAGTTTGTTGTCGCCAAGTGAGACCTTAATTCAAATTAAGTCAGATGGCATTTGCTGTTTTAATGTAAACAGTGTTAATTTATTATTATTTTTTACTTGTATGACAGATTAAATCCCCCGTTTCGCTCTACCGTCCCTAACCACATGGTGCAAAATCAGTCAGAACACATAAATAATATTTGATGTACCTGATTGTTATTGTTGTAGCGGAGAATGGTCACGCCTCCGGTTGATGATGCTGTTATGACTTTCTCTTGGTCCAGAAACTGTAGGGAAAATGAAATGAAAGCAGTCCGTGTTAAAATATTTGCAAACTCCAGTGCAATAAGAATACATTTCAAATCAGACATGACTTACTGCTTATTCAGCTTCTTCAGACAGGAATACGCAATCATGATGAGAGAGGCAGAGACCACTTTTCCGAAGACCGTGTACAAGCACAAATACTTCCATTTGAATACCCGCTGATACCAAATACTGATTCTTGATGATTCCAGGAAACACACACATTTCTTGAACCTGACCCAAGTTTCACTCAAATATACATACTAGCAAGTTTAAGTTACTGTCCAGACGTACAGTACTGTATTGGTACTGATGGCGATCCCGAATCATGATCCATCAATACATACTGTGCATATGGCGGTTTTTAACATAATGGTGAATGATCGACTTACTTGAAGATCGAGAACATCTCCCGCATGCTTATGCTCACACAGCGGCTTTGGGTCCCCATCGAATCCTTCTTCCAAAGAAGAAATTCCATTATTTCCAATCGTCCAAATTGAAACAGTGTTGTCCTGTAAAGGGACAGAACTTGAGTTATCGAATAAAAACAGCTGAGTGACGCTAATGCAAATACGATAATACGAAAATGCACGTTTTCATTACACAGCTCTGACACACACAAATCGCATCTAGATCGTGGCTCGGCATGAGACCATAAAAAAAAAATCACTCACGTTATCATAAATGAACGACTAACCTCGTTATCCCAAGATCCAGTCGCAAAGATTTCGGGCTGCTGCAGAGATGAAAGCGATACCGGCCGCCATCTGACTTTACTAATTTTCTGAGACACGTATTTCGCATTAATACTTTCCATGAGAGCAGAATTGTTTGTTTTCGTTTGCTTAAATGTACATATATTGAAGCTAGCTTTAGCTTCCAACGCCGAACAACCAACCGCTCCAGTCAACGCGACGCTACGGGAACGCTATTAGGACAAGCTTAAGTCCAGGCGAATATAGGTAGCACCCCTCCTACCGGTCACAGTCGCCACTACAACTATAAATCTGATAATCCAACGAGTGTGCGATGTGGAAATACCATCGTTGAAGAGGCATATAAAGCAATCATTAAATCTCATGAAACGATATCACTCTGCGTGAGACTGCGTCAAAGACGAGCCACCCCGCTGTAAATTCACCGTGGATGTCTGGTGACGTATCCTCTGCTCCGTCTGCTTTGCAGGTTGCCAGCTTCCTCGGCAAAACACTTGGCGCAGGCGCGGCACTGACGGCTGCTGTCTACCTAGTCCGCAAAGTCTGCCTAATAATGGCGTGGAAATCAGGAGGAGCAAGCCACGCAGAACTCGTCAACAACCTGCGCAGTAAGTCTGCATGCTCGGAACAGCAGCAGCGACGTGAGGCAAACACGAGTGTTGCCTGCAACCGCTTTAGATTTGGAGATTGCGCTCAAGAGTTGGGGCTAGCTGGTTGCTAAGCTAAGTGTCATGTTGTACTGTAGTTGCCTCTCTCTACTCCTTTCCAACAAACCACGCTCCCGTCGTCTTACGTCAGCACGCGTCCGTGGTGGACGGCACATAGAGACACACAAAAATGCCCATTCAAGGTCATCAAACGTCTTTCGTTTGAATAGCTTAGCTCGTTAGCTTCATGTGCGTCATTTGGGGACGTTGGAGGAAGCAACGATAGCAGAGCCAGACAGGCACCCTGCCCACATTCACTGATGCTATCAATGTAGTATCCACTTGATTCCTTCCTGAATGACACGGACAGCTGAACTGTTGTACAGTATGTGCTTCTGTAGCCTGTATTGCAGGGCTACCCAAATCTGGTACTCGAGAGCCCCTATCCAGCCTGATTTAGATTTGTCCCTCCTCCAAAACACCCGATTCAAATGATCAGCTCATCAGCAAGCTTTAGGATGACATAGATAGAGACTTTCCAAACTGACTTGGAGCAAAATGCGTTGTACACCCTGGACTGGTCTCCACCCAATCGCTGGTCACATGGGCTCCAGCTCAGCTGTGACCTTAATGAGGACAAGTGGTAAAAAAAGTGGATGGATGGGTATTTTTGCATCAAATTTCTCTCGCGGTTCCCGATAGGCTTAATGTACCCACACCCTGTCTTGTGATGGCCAATCCAAGAGCTGCATTGACCTTACGCATGGCGACGCATTACACTCTTGTGGTCGAAAGGTCAGGTGGCTTAACAGTTTCTGCTGTCAATATGTTACCGGCTCCTGGGATGTCATCTGCCTGAAATATAAGTGTGATATCCTGGGATGGTCTAATAGGTATTCAGTTTTTAATTATCTACTTTGTAGTACGCAAATTACACCGGAATCACAAATCTATGGAGCTCACCATCGTTTTTGCAGTGGAAGCCCGCTACTAACGCTGTTGTATCACAGTTCATTAGATTGAGGCCATGCACCTAATGTGGCATGTTGTAGTACCAGCCCAATTTACATAAAGGCATCTAAATTTAGCCTTTAATTTGCATGACTTGCACAGAATGTCAGCACTCCGTACGGGTTGTGGTTAGTGGGTTTGCCTTTGAATCTCAGTGGAGACCTTCTTTTGTGGAGTTTGAATGTTCTCCACCCCCGTACTCTGGTGCCCCCCCCCCACACACACACACACATTAAAAAAATGCCTTTTAGGTTAATTGATGTCTCAGAATCTATCATCAATGTGAATGCGAGTGAAAGTTATTTCCTCTCTATGAGCTCAATGATTGGCTGGCAACCATCTGCTTGAATGCGATGTAATGTG